CCCAGCCACTCGCTCATCCATCCACTCACCCAGCCACTCACCCAGCCACTCACCACTCGCTCACCCAGCCACCCAGCCAGCCACTCACCACTCGCTCACCCAGACACTCAGCCAGCCACTCACCCAGCCACTCAGCCAGCCACTCACCCAGCCACTCACCACTTGCACACCCAGCCACTCACTCACCCAGCCACTCACCACTTGCACACCCAGCCACTCACTCACCCAGCCACTCACCACTCGCTCACCCAGCCACTCACCTCGCCACTCGCTCACCCAGCCATTCACTCACGTGCCCACTCAATCACACACACGCTCACTCTGTGTGTGTGTGTGTGTGTCACACTCTCTGTGTGTGTGTCACACTCTCCCATTCTGTGTGCGTGTGTGTGTCACTCTGTGTGTGCACGTGTGTGTCACCCTCTCACCCCGCGTGTGTGTCACTGTGTGTGTGTGTGTCACTCTGTGTGTGTGTGTCACTCTGTGTGCGTGTGTGTCACTCTGTGTGTGTGTGTCACACTCTCACCCCCTGTCTGTGTGTGTCACTCTGTGTGTGTGTGTCACTCTGTGTGTGTGTCACTCTGTGTGTGTGTCACTCTGTGTGTGTGTCACCCTCTCACCCCGCGTGTGTGTGTGTCACTCTGTGTGTGTGTCACCCTCTCACTCTGCGTGTGTGTGTCACTCTGTGTGTGTGTGTCTCTTTGTGTGTGTGTGTCACTCTGTGTGTGTGTGTCACTGTGTGTGTGTGTCACTGTGTGTGTGTGTCACTCTGCGTGTGTGTCACCCCGCGTGTGTGTGTGTGTCACCCTCTCACCCCGTGTGTGTGTGTGTCACCCTCTCACCCCGCGTGTATGTGTGTCACTCCGTGTGTGTGTGTGCCACCCTCTCACCCCGTGTGTGTGTGTGTCACCCCGTGTGTGTGTGTGTGTCACTGTGTGTGTGTGTCACCCTCTCACCCCGTGTGTGTGTGTGTGTCACCCCGTGTGTGTGTGTGTGTCACCCCGTGTGTGTGTGTGTGTCACCCCGTGTGTGTGTGTGTGTCACCCCGTGTGTGTGTGTGTGTGTGTCACCCCGTGTGTGTGTGTGTGTGTCACCCCGTGTGTGTGTGTGTGTGTCACCCCGTGTGTGTGTGTGTCACTCCGTGTGTGTGTGTGTGTGTGTCACCCCGTGTGTGTGTGTGTGTGTGTCACCCCGTGTGTGTGTGTGTGTGTCACCCCGTGTGTGTGTGTGTGTCACCTCGCGTGTGTGTGTGTGTCACCCCGTGTGTGTGTGTGTGTGTCACCCCGTGTGTGTGTGTCACCCTCTCACCCCCCGTGTGTGTGTGTGTGTGTCACCCTCTCACCGTGTGTGTGTGTGTGTGTCACCCCGTGTGTGTGTGTGTGTGTCACCCTCTCACCGTGTGTGTGTGTGTCACCCCGTGTGTCTGTGTGTGCCACCCACCAGTCCCGAGCCGCCAGTGCTGCCCAGGAGCGCTACGAGAAGGAGGTGGTGCTTCACGGGGCCGACGTCGAGGCCCTCCGCACCGCCCGCGCCCAGCTCAGCTCCGCCTCGGGGCGTCTCCGCGGGGCGCAGGAGGAGGCTGCCCGGAGCTCCATGGAGCTGGCCAGGCGGCGGGCTGACGTGGAGCAGCAGCAGCAGGCGCAGAAGGTGGTGGGGGTAGGGGGTGTGGGGTGGGGTGGGGTGGGTGGGGTGGGTGTGTCTCGGTGTGTGTGTTACTGTGTGTGTGTGTGTTACTGTGTGTGTGTGAGTTACTGTGTGTGTGTTACTGTGTGTGTGTCACTGTGTGTGTGTGAGTTACTGTGTGTGTGTGTCACTGTGTTTGTGTGTCACTGTGTGTGTGTGTGTCACTGTGTGTGTGTGTCACTGTGTGTGTGTCTCTGTGTGTGTTACTGTGTGTGTTACTGTGTGTGTTACTGTGTGTGTCACTGTGTGTTTGTCACTGTTTGTGTCACTGTTTGTGTCACTGTGTGTGTGTGTCACTGTGTGTGTGTGTCACTGTGTCACTGTGTGTGTCACTGTGTCACTGTGTGTGTCACTGTGTGTGTGTCACTGTGTGTGTGTCACTGTGTGTGTGTGTGTCACTGTGTGTGTCACTGTGTGTGTGTCACTGTGTGTGTTACTGTGTGTGTGTGTGTCACTGTGTGTGTGTCACTGTGTGTGTGTTACTGTGTGTGTTACTGTGTGTGTGTGTGTCACTGTGTGTCACTGTGTGTGTGTCACTGTGTGTGTGTCACTGTGTGTGTTACTGTGTGTGTGTGTCACTGTGTGTGTGTGTGTCTCGTGGGGAGCGATAGTGTAGTAGCGGTTAGCGCCTCGCTGCGCTACGAACCCGGCAACCCGGGTTCGATTCCCGCTCACGGCCAACACCACCATCGACGATTATCTGAACCGGCCCTGGGCCTCTCCCCTCGGCCGACTCGGCCTCAAACGAGTACCTGGTGTGGCGGTGTGTAGTAAACATCGCCACCGGGGAGACAAAGGCGGCCGGGCGTGGTTGCTGGCCACCCACCCCCCTCGTGCACCGTTACCGGCCTTCATAGTTGCCGCTAGCTAACACCACTTGCCCCCACATTCTGTTAAGGCTACACGGGGGATATTCGCCTTTGTTCTTTTGGATAAAATTCGCACAAATGCCAGTCGAACAGTTAGCAGCCACGGGGACAATTTGGATAAAATTCGCACAAATGCCAGTCGAACAGTTAGCAGCCACGGGACAATTTGGATAAAATTCGCACAAATGCCAGTCGAACAGTTAGCAGCCACGGGGACAATTTGGATAAAATTCGCACAAATGCCAGTCGAACAGTTAGCAGCCACGGGGACAATTTGGATAAAATTCGCACAAATGCCAGTCGAACAGTTAGCAGCCACGGGACAATTTGGATAAAATTCGCACAAATGCCAGTCGAACAGTTAGCAGCCACGGGACAATTTGGATAAAATTCGCACAAATGTCAGTCGAACAGTTAGCAGCCACGGGACAATTTGGATAAAATTCGCACAAATGCCAGTCGAACAGTAACAGCCACGGGACAATTTGGATAAAATTCGCACAAATGCCAGTCGAACAGTTAGCAGCCACGGGACAATTTGGATAAAATTCGCACAAATGCCGGTCGAACAGTTAGCAGCCACGGGACAATTTGGATAAAATTCGCACAAATGCCGGTCGAACAGTTAGCAGCCACGGGACAATTTGGATAAAATTCGCACAAATGCCAGTCGAACAGTTAGCAGCCACGGGACAATTTGGATAAAATTCGCACAAATGCCAGTCGAACAGTTAGCAGCCACAGGACAATTTGGATAAAATTCGCACAAATGCCAGTCGAACAGTTAGCAGCCACGGGGACAATTTGGATAAAATTCGCACAAATGCCAGTCGAACAGTTAGCAGCCACGGGACAATTTGGATAAAATTCGCACAAATGCCAGTCGAACAGTAACAGCCACGGGACAATTTGGATAAAATTCGCACAAATGCCAGTCGAACAGTTAGCAGCCACGGGGACAATTTGGATAAAATTCGCACAAATACCAGTCGAACAGTTAGCAGCCACGGGACAATTTGGATAAAATTCGCACAATGCCAGTCGAACAGTAACAGCCACGGGACAATTTGGATAAAATTCGCACAAATGCCAGTCGAACAGTTAGCAGCCACGGGACAATTTGGATAAAATTCGCACAAATGCCAGTCGAACAGTTAGCAGCCACGGGACAATTTGGATAAAATTCGCACAAATGCCAGTCGAACAGTAACAGCCACGGGACAATTTGGATAAAATTCGCACAAATGCCAGTCGAACAGTTAGCAGCCACGGGGACAATTTGGATAAAATTCGCACAAATGCCAGTCGAACAGTTAGCAGCCACGGGACAATTTGGATAAAATTCGCACAAATGCCAGTCGAACAGTTAGCAGCCACGGGACAATTTGGATAAAATTCGCACGAATGCCAGTCGAACAGTTAGCAGCCACGGGACAATTTGGATAAAATTCGCACAAATGCCAGTCGAACAGTTAGCAGCCACGGGACAATTTGGATAAAATTCAGCACAAATGCCAGTCGAACAGTTAGCAGCCACGGGGACAATTTGGATAAAATTCGCACAAATGCCAGTCGAACAGTTAGCAGCCACGGGGACAATTTGGATAAAATTCGCACAAATGCCAGTCGAACAGTTAGCAGCCACGGGGACAATTTGGATAAAATTCGCACAAATGCCAGTCGAACAGTTAGCAGCCACGGGACAATTTGGATAAAATTCGCACAAATGCCAGTCGAACAGTTAGCAGCCACGGGACAATTTGGATAAAATTCGCACAAATGCCAGTCGAACAGTAACCAGCCACGGGACAATTTGGATGAAATTCGCACAAACGCCAGTCGAACAGTTAGCAGCCACGGGACAATTTGGATAAAATTCGCACAAATGCCAGTCGAACAGTTAGCAGCCACGGGACAATTTGGATAAAATTCGCACAAATGCCAGTCGAACAGTTAAGCCAGCCACGGGACAATTTGGATAAATTCGCACAAACTGCCAGTCGAACAGTTAGCAGCCACGGGACAATTTGGATAAAATTCGCACAAATGCCAGTCGAACAGTTAGCAGCCACGGGACAATTTGGATAAAATTCGCACAAATGCCAGTCGAACAGTAAGCAGCCACGGGGACAATTTGGATAAAATTCGCACAAATGCCAGTCGAACAGTTAGCAGCCACGGGACAATTTGGATAAAATTCGCACAAATGCCAGTCGAACAGTTAGCAGCCACGGGACAATTTGGATAAAATTCGCACAAATGCCAGTCGAACAGTTAGCAGCCACGGGACAATTTGGATGAAATTCGCACAAATGCCAGTCGAACAGTTAGCAGCCACGGGACAATTTGGATAAAATTTGCACAAATGCCAGTCGAACAGTTAGCAGCCACGGGGACAATTTGGATAAAATTCGGCACAAATGCCAGTCGAACAGTTAGCAGCCACGGGACAATTTGGATAAAATTCGCACAAATGCCAGTCGAACAGTTAGCAGCCACGGGGACAATTTGGATAAAATTCGCACAAATGCCAGTCGAACAGTTAGCAGCCACGGGGACAATTTGGATAAAATTCGCACAAATGCCAGTCGAACAGTTAGCAGCCACGGGACAATTTGGATAAAATTCGCACAAATGCCAGTCGAACAGTTAGCAGCCACGGGACAATTTGGATAAAATTCGCACAAATGCCAGTCGAACAGTTAGCAGCCACGGGACAATTTGGATAAAATTCGCACAAATGCCAGTCGAACAGTTAGCAGCCACGGGGACAATTTGGATAAAATTCGCACAAATGCCAGTCGAACAGTTAGCAGCCACGGGGACAATTTGGATAAAATTCGCACAAATGCCAGTCGAACAGTTAGCAGCCACGGGGACAATTTGGATAAAATTCGCACAAATGCCAGTCGAACAGTTAGCAGCCACGGGGACAATTTGGATAAAATTCGCACAAATGCCAGTCGAACAGTTAGCAGCCACGGGACAATTTGGATAAAATTCGCACAAATGCCAGTCGAACAGTTAGCAGCCACGGGACAATTTGGATAAATTCGCACAAATGCCAGTCGAACAGTTAGCAGCCACGGGACAATTTGGATAAAATTCGCACAAATGCCAGTCGAACAGTTAGCAGCCACGGGGACAATTTGGATAAAATTCGCACAAATGCCAGTCGAACAGTTAGCAGCCACGGGACAATTTGGATAAAATTCGCACAAATGCCAGTCGAACAGTTAGCAGCCACGGGACAATTTGGATAAAATTCGCACAAATGCCAGTCGAACAGTTAGCAGCCACGGGACAATTTGGATAAAATTCGCACAAATGCCAGTCGAACAGTTAGCAGCCACGGGACAATTTGGATAAAATTCGCACAAATGCCAGTCGAACAGTTAGCAGCCACGGGACAATTTGGATAAAATTCGCACAAATGCCAGTCGAACATTAGCAGCCACGGGACAATTTGGATAAAATTCGCACAATGCCAGTCGAACAGTAACAGCCACGGGACAATTTGGATCAAAATTCGCACAAATGCCAGTCGAACAGTTAAGCAGCCACGGGACAATTTGGATAAAATTCGCACAAATGCCAGTCGAACAGTTAGCAGCCACAGGGACAATTTGGATGAAAATTCGCACAAATGCCAGTGCGAACAGTTAGCAGCCACGGGGACAATTTGGATAAAATTCGCACAAATGCCAGTCGAACAGTTAGCAGCCACGGGGACAATTTGGATAAAATTCGCACAAATGCCAGTCGAACAGTTAGCAGCCACGGGGACAATTTGTATAAAATTCGCACAAATGCCAGTCGAACAGTTAGCAGCCACGGGACAATTTGGATAAAATTCGCACAAATGCCAGTCGAACAGTTAGCAGCCACGGGACAATTTGGATAAAATTCACACAAATGCCAGTCGAACAGTTAGCAGCCACGGGACAATTTGGATAAAATTCGCACAAATGCCAGTCGAACAGTTAGCAGCCACGGGGACAATTTGGATGAAATTCGCACAAATGCCAGTCGAACAGTTAGCAGCCACGGGACAATTTGGATAAAATTCGCACAAATGCCAGTTCGAACAGTTAGCAGCCACGGGACAATTTGGATAAAATTCGCACAAATGCCAGTCGAACAGTTAGCAGCCACGGGGACAATTTGGATAAAATTCGCACAAATGCCAGTCGAACAGTTAGCAGCCACGGGACAATTTGGATAAAATTCGCACAAATACCAGTCGAACAGTTAGCAGCCACGGGACAATTTGGATAAAATTCGCACAAATGCCAGTCGAACAGTTAGCAGCCACGGGACAATTTGGATAAAATTCACACAAATGCCAGTCGAACAGTTAGCAGCCACGGGACAATTTGGATCAAATTCGCACAAATGCCAGTCGAACAGTTAGCAGCCACGCGACAATTTGGATAAAATTCGCACAAATGCCAGTCGAACAGTAACAGCCACGGGACAATTTGGATAAAATTCGCACATGCCAGTCGAACAGTAACAGCCACGGGACAATTTGGATCAAATTCGCACAAATGCCAGTCGAACAGTAACAGCCACGGGACAATTTGGATAAAATTCGCACAAATGCCAGTCGAACAGTTAGCAGCCACAGGACAATTTGGATGAAATTCGCACAAATGCCAGTTGAACAGTTAGCAGCCACGGGACAATTTGGATAAAATTCGCACAAATGCCAGTCGAACAGTTAGCAGCCACGGGGACAATTTGGATAAAATTCGCACAAATGCCAGTCGAACAGTAACAGCCACGGGGACAATTTGGATAAAATTCGCACAAATGCCAGTCGAACAGTTAGCAGCCACGGGACAATTTGGATAAAATTCGCACAAATGCCAGTCGAACAGTTAGCAGCCACGGGACAATTTGGATAAAATTCACACAAATGCCAGTCGAACAGTTAGCAGCCACGGGACAATTTGGATAAAATTCGCACAAATGCCAGTCGAACAGTTAGCAGCCACGGGGCAATTTGGATGAAATTCGCACAAATGCCAGTCGAACAGTTAGCAGCCACGGGACAATTTGGATAAAATTCGCACAAATGCCAGTTCGAACAGTTAGCAGCCACGGGGACAATTTGGATAAAATTCGCACAAATGCCAGTCGAACAGTTAGCAGCCACGGGACAATTTGGATAAAATTCGCACAAATGCCAGTCGAACAGTTAGCAGCCACGGGACAATTTGGATAAAATTCGCACAAATGCCAGTCGAACAGTTAGCAGCCACGGGACAATTTGAATAAAATTCGCACAAATGCCACCCACTGACACTTACCCACCCACTCACTCACCCTCTCACCCACCCTCCTACCCAACTACCCACCCACCCTCTCATCGACCCACCCTCCAACCCACCCTCCTTCCTACCCACCCACCCTCCCACCCACTGACCCTTACCCACCCACCCACTGACCCTTACCCACTCACCCACCCACCCTCTCACCCACCCTCTCACCCACCCACCCTCTCACCCACCCACCCTCTCACTCACCCTCTCACTCACCCACCCACCCTCCTTCCTACCCACCCTCTCACCCACCCTCTCACCCACCCACCCTCCAACCCACCCTTCTTCCTACCCACCCACCCACCCTCCCACCCACTGACCCTTACCCACCCTCTCACTCACCCTCTCACCCACCCACCCTCTCACCCACCCTCCTACCCACCCACCCACCCTCTCACCCACCCACCCTCCTACCCACCCTCCTTCCTACCCACCCACCCTCCCACCCACTGACCCTTACCCACCCACCCTCTCACCCACCCTCTCACCCACCCACCCTCTCACCCACCCACCCACTCACTCACCCACCCACCCTCTCACCCACCCACCCTCTCACCCACCCACCCTCTCACCCACCCACTGACCCTTACCCACCCACCCACCCTCTCACCCACCCTCTCACCCACCCACCCTCTCACCCACCCTCTCACCCACCCACCCTCTCACCCACCCACCCACCCACCCTCTCACCCACCCACCCACTCACCCTCTCACCCACCCACCCACCCCAGGAGGAGGTGGCCCGCCTGGCCTCACGAGTGGAGGAGCTGCAGCAGCAGAACTCCCTGCTGCACTCGCAGCTGGAGACCGTGAGCCAGCAGATGCTGGCAGCCGTCAAGACCTCTGCCAGCATCAGCGGCAGCAGCAGCAGTGGAGCAGCAGCAACAGCAGCAGCAGTAGCAGCTGGTACAGCTGCTGACGGACAGCCGGAGCCCGGCATTGAGGATGGCAGCGAGAGGCTTTTAGAACTACTCAGGTGAGTGGGTGGGCGGGCGGGCGGGCGGGTGGCTTTGTGGGCGAGTGGTGGGGTGAGTGATTTGGTGGGTGGGAGGGTGAGTGGGTGGGTGACTTTGTGGGCGAGTAGTGGGGTGAGTGATTTGGTGGATGGGATTTCAGGAGGGTGAGTGGGTGGGCGGGTGGCTTTGTGGGCGAGTGGTGGGGTGAGCGATTTGGTGGGTGGGATTTCAGTAGGGTGGGAGGGTGAGTGAGTGGGTGGGCGGGTGGCTTTGTAGGCGAGTGGTGGGGTGAGTGATTTGGTGGGTGGGATTTCAGGAGGGTGGGAGGGTGAGTGAGTGGGCGGGTGACTTTGTGGGCGAGTAGTGGGGTGAGTGATTTGGTGGGTGGGAGGGTGAGTGGGTGGGTGACTTTGTGGGTGAGTAGTGGGGTGAGTGATTTGGTGGGTGGGATTTCAGGAGGGTGGGAGGGTGAGTGAGTGGGTGGGAGGGTGACTTTGTGGGCGAGTGGTGGGGTGAGTGATTTGGTGGGTGGGATTTCAGGAGGGTGGGAGGGTGGGAGGGTGAGTGAGTGAGTGGGTGGGCGGGCGGGCGGGTGACTTTGTGGGTGAGTAGTGGGGTGAGTGATTTTTGTGGGTGGGATTTCAGGAGGGTGGGAGGGTGAGTGAGTGAGTGGGTGGGCGGGTGACTTTGTGGGCGAGTAGTGGGGTGAGTGATTTGGTGGGTGGGATTTCAGGAGGGTGGGAGGGTGAGTGAGTGGGTGGGTGACTGGGCGAGTAGTGGGCTGTGGTGGGTAGTTTTACGGGCGAGTGGACGGGCCGGTGAGTGGGTGAGCGATTTGGTGGGTGGGATTTCAGGAGGGTGGGAGGGTGAGTGAGTGACATTGTGGGTGAGTAGTGGGGTGTGGTGGGTGGTTTTGCGGGCCGGTGAGTGATTTGGTGGGCGAGATTTCAGGAGGGTGGGAGGGTGGGCGGGCGGGTGGGTGGGTGAGCGATTTGGTGGGTGGGATTTCAGGAGGGTGGGAGGGTGAGTGGGTGGGCGGGTGACATTGTGGGCGAGTAGTGGGGTGAGTGATTTGGTGGGTGGGATTTCAGGAGGGTGGGAGGGTGAGTGAGTGGGTGGGTGACTTTGTGGGCGAGTGGTGGGGTGAGTGATTTGGTGGGTGGGATTTCAGGAGGGTGAGTGGGTGGGTGACTTTGTGGGTGAGTAGTGGGGTGAGTGATTTGGTGGGTGGGATTTCAGGAGGGTGAGTGGGTGGGCGGGTGACTTTGTGGGCGACTAGTGGGGTGAGTGATTTGGTGGGTGGGAGGGTGAGTGGGTGGGTGACTTTGTGGGCGAGTGGTGGGGTGAGTGATTTGGTGGGTGGGAGGGTGAGTGGGCGGGTGGCTTTGTGGGCGAGTGGTGGGGTGAGTGATTTGGTGGGTGGGATTTCAGGTGAGTGGGTGGGCGGGCGGGCGGGGGTGGCTTTGTGGGTGAGTAGTGGGGTGAGTGATTTGGTGGGTGGGATTTCAGGAGGGTGGGAGGGTGAGTGAGTAGGTGGGCGGGCGTGTGACTTTGTGGGCGAGTAGTGGGGTGAGTGATTTGGTGGGTGGGATTTCAGGAGGTTGGGAGGGTGAGTGGGTGGGCGGGTGAGCTCCTGCATGAGCCACTGACACCACCACCACTGTGCCACTGACACCGCCGCCTCTGTGCCACTGACACCGCCACCTCTGTGCCACTGACACCACCGCCTCTGTGCCACTGACACCACCGCCTCTGTGCCACTGACACCACCGCCTCTCTGCCACTGACACCACCACCGCCTCTGTGTCACTGACACCACCGCCTATGTGCCTCTGACACCACCGCCTCTGTGCCACTGATACCACCCACCACCGCCTCTGTGCCACTGACACCACCGCCTCTGTGCCACTGACACCACCGCCTCTGTGCCACTGACACCACCGCCTCTGTGCCACTGACACCACCGCCTCTGTGCCACTGACACCGCCGCCTCTGTGCCACTGACACCACCGCCTCTGTGCCACTGACACCGCCCACCAGGTTCATGCGCAGGGAGAAGGAGATAGCGGAGACTCGCCTGGAGGTGTCGCAGGCCGAGGGCGTGAGGCAGAAGCATCGCGTCACTCAGCTGGAGCGACAGCTGGCAGACACTCAGAGCAGCCTGGCCACGCAGAGGGAGAGCGTGCAGGTGTGTGGGTGGGTGGTGTGGGTGGTGTGGGTGGTGTGGGTGGGTGGTGTGGGTGGGTGGTGTTTCTGTGTGTGTGTGGGTGGGTGGTGGTGGGTGGTGTGTGTGTGTGTGGGTGGTGTGTCTGTGTGTGTGTGGAGTGTCTGTGTGTGTGTGGAGTGTCTGTGTGTGTGGAGTGTCACTGTGTGTGTGTGTGGAGTGTCTGTGTGTGTGTGTGGTGTGTCTGTGTGTGTGTCTGTGTGTGTGTGTGTAGTGTGTGTGTGTGTGGAGTGTCTGTGTGTGGTGTGTGTGTGTGGTGTGTCTGTGTGTGTGTGTGTGTGGAGTGTCTGTGTGTGTGTCTGTGTGTGTGTGTAGTGTGTGTGTGTGTGGAGTGTCTGTGTGTGGTGTGTGTGTGTGGAGTGTCTGTGTGTGTGTGTGTGGTGTCTGTGTGGTGGGGTTAGTGCTACGTAACCTGCAGAGTGCCGAGTTCGATTCCCGCTCACGGCCAACGCCAGTGACGAGAATACTCTGACATCCTCACCACCATCCTCACCACCTCACCATCACCCTCACCACCTCTCCCTCACCGCCTCTCCCTCTCCCTCACCACCTCTCCCTCACCCTCACCACCTCTCCCTCACCCTCACCACCTCTCCCTCACCCTCACCACCTCTCCCTCACCACCTCTCCCTCACCCTCACCACCTCTCCCTCACCCTCACCACCTCTCCCTCACCCTCACCACCTCACCCTCACCACCTCTCCTTCACCACGCTCGCAGCTCAATGCGAAGTCTCTTGCCCAGCACGGGGAGCTGATGCAGAAGGTGGAGACTCTCAGCATCCTCACCACCTCTCCCTCACCCTCACCACCTCTCCCTCTCCCTCACCGCCTCACCCTCACCACCTCTCCCTCACCCTCACCACCTCTCCCTCTCCCTCACCACCTCACCCTCACCACCTCTCCCTCACCACCTCTCCCTCACCCTCACCACCTCTCCCTCACCCTCTCCACCTCTCCCTCACCGTGCCCGCAGCTCAATGCGAAGTCTCTTGCCCAGCACGGGGAGCTGATGCAGAAGGTGGAGACTCTCAGCATCCTCACCACCTCACCCTCACCACCTCACCCTCACCACCTCTCCCTCACCCTCACCACCTCTCCCTCACCACCTCTCCCTCACCCTCACCACCTCTCCCTCTCCCTCACCACCTCTCCCTCACCGTGCCCACAGCTCAATGCGAAGTCTCTTGCCCAGCACGGGGAGCTGATGCAGAAGGTGGAGACTCTCAGCATCCTCACCGCCTCACCCTCACCACCTCTCCCTCTCCCTCACCACCTCACCCTCACCACCTCTCCCTCACCACCTCTCCCTCACCACCTCTCCCTCACCCTCACCACCTCTCCCTCACCCTCACCACCTCTCCCTCACCCTCACCACCTCTCCCTCACCACCTCACCCTCACCACCTCTCCCTCACCACCTCTCCCTCACCACCTCTCCCTCGCCCTCACCACCTCTCCCTCACCCTCACCACCTCTCCCTCACCCTCACCACCTCTCCCTCACCACCTCTCCCTCACCACCTCTCCCTCGCCCTCACCGCCTCTCCCTCACCCTCACCACCTCTCCCTCACCCTCACCACCTCTCCCTCACCACCTCACCCTCACCCTCACCACCTCTCCCTCACCACCTCTCCCTCACCCTCACCACCTCACCCTCACCACCTCACCCTCACCACCTCTCCCTCACCCTCACCACCTCTCCCTCACCCTCACCACCTCACCCTCACCACCTCACCCTCACCCTCACCACCTCACCCTCACCACCTCACCCTCACCCTCACCACCTCTCCCTCACCACCTCTCCCTCACCCTCACCACCTCTCCCTCACCACCTCTCCCTCACCACCTCTCCCTCACCCTCACCACCTCTCCCTCACCACCTCTCCCTCACCCTCACCACCTCACCCTCACCACCTCACCCTCACCCTCACCACCTCTCCCTCACCACCTCTCCCTCACCCTCACCTCCTCTCCCTCACCACCTCTCCCTCACCCTCACCACCTCACCCTCACCACCTCTCCCTCACCCTCACCACCTCTCCCTCACCACCTCTCCCTCACCCTCACCACCTCTCCCTCACCACCTCTCCCTCACCCTCACCACCTCACCCTCACCACCTCACCCTCACCCTCACCACCTCTCCCTCACCCTCACCACCTCTCCCTCACCACCTCTCCCTCACCCTCACCACCTCTCCCTCACCACCTCTCCCTCACCCTCACCACCTCACCCTCACCACCTCACCCTCACCCTCACCCCCTCTCCCTCACCACCTCTCCCTCACCCTCACCACCTCTCCCTCACCACCTCTCCCTCACCCTCACCACCTCACCCTCACCACCTCACCCTCACCCTCACCACCTCTCCCTCACCACCTCTCCCTCACCGTGCCCGCAGCTCAATGCGAAGTCTCTTGCCCAGCACGGGGAGCTGATGCAGAAGGTGGAGACTCTCAGCATCCTCACCACCTCACCCTCACCACCTCTCCCTCACCCTCACCGCCTCTCCCTCTCCCTCACCACCTCTCCCTCTCCCTCACCACCTCTCCCTCACCACCTCTCCCTCTCCCTCACCGCCTCACCCTCACCACCTCTCCCTCACCCTCACCACCTCACCCTCACCCTCACCACCTCACCCTCACCACCTCTCCCTCACCCTCACCACCTCACCCTCACCCTCACCACCTCTCCCTCACCACCTCTCCCTCACCACCTCTCCCTCACCCTCACCACCTCTCCCTCACCCTCACCACCTCTCCCTCTCCCTCACCACCTCTCCCTCTCCCTCACCACCTCTCCCTCACCGTGCCCGCAGCTCAATGCGAAGTCTCTTGCCCAGCACGGGGAGCTGATGCAGAAGGTGGAGACTCTCAGCATCCTCACCGCCTCTCCCTCACCACCTCTCCCTCACCCTCACCACCTCTCCCTCACCACCTCTCCCTCACCCTCACCACCTCTCCCTCACCCTCACCACCTCTCCCTCACCGTGCCCGCAGCTCAATGCGAAGTCTCTTGCCCAGCACGGGGAGCTGATGCAGAAGGTGGAGACTCTCAGCATCCTCACCGCCTCACCCTCACCACCTCTCCCTCACCCTCACCCTCACCACCTCTCCCTCACCACCTCTCCCTCACCGTGCCCGCAGCTCAATGCGAAGTCTCTTGCCCAGCACGGGGAGCTGATGCAGAAGGTGGAGACTCTCAGCATCCTCACCGAGTCGAATCGGCAACTGCGTGATGACAAGCAGCGTCTGCAGCAGCAGCTGCAGCAGGAACAGGCCAAGGTGAGGAGGGTAGTGGGGGGTGGTGTGGGAAGCCGTGATGGGTCATCCCTGGTCAGCCTCACTGTCACCCTGGTCAGCCTGGTCACCCTCACGGCCACCCTGGTCACCCTGGTCACCCTGGTCACCCTCACGGCCACCCTGGTCAGCCTGGTCACACTCACGGTCACCCTGGTCAGCCTCACTGTCACCCTGGTCAGCCCTGGTCACCCTCACGGTCACCCTGGTCACCCTGGTCAGCCTCACGGCCACACTGGTCACCCTGGTCACACTCACGGTCACCCTGGTCAGCCTGGTCACACTCACGGTCACCCTGGTCAGCCTGGTCACACTCACGGCCACCCTGGTCACACTCACTGTCACCCTGGTCACCCTGGTCACCCTGGTCACCCTGGTCACACTCACGGTCACCCTGGTCACCCTCACTGTCACCCTGGTCACCCTGGTCACCCTGGTCACACTCACGGTCACCCTGGTCAGCCTCACGGCCACACTGGTCACCCTGGTCACCCTGGTCACCCTCACGGTCACCCTGGTCAGCCTGGTCACCTTCACTGTCACCCTGGTCACACTCACTGTCACCCTGGTCAGCCTGGTCACCTTCACTGTCACCCTGGTCACACTCACTGTCACCCTGGTCAGCCTGGTCACCTTCACTGTTACCCTGGTCACACTCACTGTCACCCTGGTCAGCCTGGTCACCTTCACTGTCACCCTGGTCACACTCACTGTCACCCTGGTCAGCCTGGTCACCTTCACTGTCACCCTGGTCACACTCACTGTCACCCTGGTCAGCCTGGTCACCTTCACTGTCACCCTGGTCACACTCACTGTCACCCTGGTCAGCCTGGTCACCTTCACTGTCACCCTGGTCACCCGCACTGTCACCCTGGTCACCATCATGGCCACCCTGGTCACCCTCACGGTCAGCCTGGTCACCCTCACTGTCACCCTGGTCAGCCGCACTGTCACCCTGGTCAGCCTGGTCACCCTCACTGTCACCCTGGTCAGCCTCACGGCCACACTGGTCAACCTGGTCACACTCACGGTCACCCTGGTCACCCTGGTCAGCCTGGTCACCTTCACTGTCACCCTGGTCACCCTCACGGTCACCCTCACTGTCACCCTAGTCACCCTGGTCACCCTCACGGTCACCCTGGTCACCCTCACCTTTACCCTGGTCAGCCGCACTGTCACCCTGGTCTCACCCTCACGGTCACCCTGGTCAGCCGCACTGTCACCCTGGTCACCCTCACGGTCATCCTCACGGTCACCCTGGTCACCCTCACGGTCACCCTGGTCACCCTGGTCACCCTCACGGTCAGCCCTGGTCACCCGCACTGTGACCCTGGTCACCCTGGTCACCCTCACGGTCAGCCCTGGTCACCCGCACCGTGACCCTGGTCAGCCTGGTCACCCTCACGGTCACCCTGGTCAGCCTGGTCACCCTGGTCACCCTCACTGTCACCCTGGTCACCCTGGTCAGCCTGGTCACCCTCACGGTCAGCCTGGTCACCCTCACGGTCAGCCTGGTCACCCTACCTATGTATCTCTATGTATCTATCTGTGTGTCTGTGTGTGTGTCTGTGTGTGTGTCTATCTGTGTGTGTGTGTGTCTGTGTGTGTGTGTATCTGTGTGTGTGTGTGTATCTGTGTGTGTGTGTGTATCTGTGTGTGTATCTGTGTGTGTGTGTGTATCTGTGTGTGTGTGTGTGTCTATCTGTGTGTGTGTGTATCTGTGTGTGTGTGTATCTGTGTGTGTAGGTACGTAAGCTGGAGGGAGACATCTCCCCGCTACAGGAGGCTAACAGAGAGCTGTGTGTGTATCTGTGTGTGTGTGTGTGTCTGTGTGTGTATCTGTATCTGTGTGTGTGTGTATCTGTGTGTGTGTGTGTATCTGTGTGTGTAGGTACGTAAGCTGGAGGGAGACATCTCCCCGCTACAGGAGGCTAACAGAGAGCTGTGTGTGTATCTGTGTGTGTGTGTGTGTATCTGTATGTGTGTGTGTGTATCTGTGTGTGTGTATCTGCGTGTAGGTACGTAAGCTGGAGGGAGACATCTCCCCTCTACAGGAGGCTAACAGAGAGCTGTGTGTGTGTGTGTATGTGTGTGTGTGTGTATCTGTGTGTGTGTGTATCTGTGTGTATCTGTGTGTGTGCGTGTATCTGTGTGTGTGTGTGTATCTGTGTGTGTAGGTACGTAAGCTGGAGGGAGACATCTCCCCTCTACAGGAGGCTAACAGAGAGCTGTGTGTATCTGTGTGTGTCTGTGTGTGTGTGTATCTGTGTGTGTGTGTATCTGTGTGTATCTGTGTGTGTGCGTGTATCTGTGTATCTGTGTGTGTGTGTGTGTATCTGTAGGTACGTAAGCTGGAGGGAGACATCTCCCCGCTACAGGAGGCTAACAGAGAGCTGTGTGTATCTGTGTGTATCTGTGTGTGTGTGTATCTGTGTGTGTGTCACTGTGTGTGTCACTGTGTGTGTCACTGTGTGTGTGTAGGTACGTAAGCTGGAGGGAGACATCTCCCCGCTACAGGAGACTAACAGAGAGCTGTGTGTATCTGTGTGTGTGTATGTATCTGTGTGTGTGTGTATCTGTGTGTGTGTGTGTGTGTATCTGTGTGTGTGTATCTGTGTGTGTGTATCTGTGTGTGTAGGTACGTAAGCTGGAGGGAGACATCTCCCCGCTACGGGAGGCTAACAGAGAGCTCTGTGTGTGTGTGTGTCTGTGTGTATCTGTGTGTCTGTGTGTGTGTATCTGTGTGTCTGTGTGTGTGTATCTGTGTGTATCTGTGTGTGTGTATCTGTGTGTGTAGGTACGTAAGCTGGAGGGAGACATCTCCCCGCTGCAGGAGGCTAACAGAGAGCTGTGTGTGTGTATCTGTGTGTGTATGTGTGTCTGTGTATGTATCTGTGTGTGTATCTGTGTGTATTTGTGTGTGTGTGTGTCTGTGTGTGTGTGTCTGTGTGTGTGTATCTGTGTGTGTGTGTCTGTGTGTGTGTATCTGTGTGTGTGTGTATGTGTGTGTATCTGTAGGTACGTAAGCTGGAGGGAGACATCTCCCCGCTGCAGGAGGCTAACAGAGAGCTGTGTGTGTGTCTGTGTGTGTGTGTATCTGTATCTGTGTGTGTGTCTGTGTGTGTGTGTATATCTGTGTGTGTATCTGTGTGTGTGTGTATCTGTGTGTGTGTGTGTATCTGTGTGTATCTGTAGGTACGTAAGCTGGAGGGAGACATCTCCCCGTTACAGGAGGCTAACAGAGAGCTGTGTGTATCTGTGTGTGTGTATCTGTGTGTGTGTATCTGTGTGTGTATCTGTGTGTATCTGTGTGTGTGTATCTGTGTGTAGGTACGTAAGCTGGAGGGAGACATCTCCCCGCTGCAGGAGGCTAACAGAGAGCTGTGTGTATCTGTGTGTGTGTGTGTATGTCTGTGTGTGTGTGTATCTGTGTGTGTGTCTGTGTGTGTATGTATCTGTGTGTGTGTGTGTATCTGTGTGTGTGTATCTGTGTGTGTAGGTACGTAAGCTGGAGGGAGACATCTCCCCGCTGCAGGAGGCTAACAGAGAGCTGTGTGAGAGGAACGGGGCTCTGCAGGCCGAAAAGAGAGCCGGGGACGAGGAGCTGAAGAGGTGGAGGGCCCGAGCACAGGTACGTCGTCATCATCGTCGTCATCGTCAACGTCGTTAACATCGTCATCAACGTCATCAACATCGTTAACATCGTCATCATCGTCAACGTCGTCATCATCGTCAACGTCGTTAACATCGTCATCAACGTCAACAACGTCATCAACATCGTCAACAACGTCAACAACGTCATCAATGTCATCATCGTCAACGTCGTTAACATCATCATCAACATCGTCATCAACGTCATCAACGTCATCGTCAACGTCGTCAACAACGTCATCAACGTCATCAACATCGTCATCATTGTCAACAACGTCAACAACGTCATCAATGTTGTCATCATTGTCAACGTCGTTAACATCGTCATCAACGTCAACAACGTCATCGTCAACGTCGTCAACATTGTTAACAACGTCGTCAACATCGTCAACAACGTCAACAACGTCATCAACAACATCGTCAACATCATCAACATCCTCAACATCGTCAACGTCATCAACATCCTCAACATCGTCAACGTCGTCAACGTCATTAACATGATCATCATCGTCAACGTCGTCATCAACGTCATCATCGTCAACAACGTCATCAACGTCAACATCAGTTGCCATCATCGTCATAGTAACCATCATCGTCATCACTATCATCATGATGGTGGTGATGTTACTGGCGGTGGTGATGATGATGATACTGATGGTACTGACGGTGATGGTACTGACGGTGATGGTACTGATGGTGATGGTACTGACGGTGATGATGATGGTAGTGATGATGATGATGATGGCAATGATGATGGTACTGATGGTGATGATGGTAGTAATGGTGATGATGGTAGTGAAGGTGATGATGCTAGTGATGGTGATGATGTTACTGGTGATGGTACTGGTGATGATGATGATGGTGCTGATGGTAGTGATGATGATGGTACTGGTGATGATGATGATGGTACTGGTAGTGATGATGATGGTACTGGTGATGATTATGATGGTACTGGTGATGATGATGATGGTAGTGATGATGATGGTACTGGTGATGATTATGATGGTACTGGTGATGATGATGGTACTGGTAGTGATGATGATGGTACTGGTGATGATTATGATGGTGCTGGTGATGATGATGGTACTGGTAGTGATGATGATGGTACTGGTGATGATGATGATGATGGTACTGGTGATGATGATGATGGTACTGGTGATGATGATGGTACTGGTGATGATGATGATGGTACTGGTGATGGTGATGATGGTACTGGTAGTGATGATGATGGTACTGGTAGTGATGATGATGGTACTGGTGATGATGATGATGGTACTGGTAGTGATGATGATGGTACTGGTAGTGATGATGATGGTACTGGTAGTGATGATGGTAGTGGTGATGATGGTAGTGATGATGATGATGGTACTGGTGATGATGATACTGGTGATGGTGATGATGGTACTGGTGATGGTGATGATGGTACTGGTAGTGGTGATGATGGTAGTGGTGATGATGGTAGTGGTAATGATGGTAGTAATGGTGATGATGATAGTGGTGATGATGGTAGTGATGATGATGATGATGGTACTGGTGATGATGATGGTACTGGTAGTGATGATGATGGTACTGGTGATGGTGCTGGTAGTGATGATGATGGTGCTGGTAGTGATGATGATGGTACTGGTGATGGTGATGATGATGGTAGTGGTGATGACGGTAGTGGTGATGATGGTAGTGATGATGATGGTACTGGTGATGATGATGGTACTGGTAGTGATGATGATGGTACTGGTGATGGTGCTGGTAGTGATGATGATGGTACTGGTGATGATGATGATGATGGTACTGGTAGTGATGATGATGGTACTGGTGATGATGATGATGATGGTACTGGTAGTGATGATGATGGTACTGGTGATGGTGATGATGATGGTAGTGGTGATGATGGTACTGGTGATGATGGTAGTGATGATGGTACTGGTGATGATGATGATGGTACTGGTGATGATGATGATGATGGTACTGGTAGTGATGATGATGGTACTGGTGATGATGATGGTACTGGTGATGATGATGATGGTACTGGTGATGATGATGATGGTACTGGTAGTGGTGATGATGGTACTGGTGATGGTGATGGTACTGGTAGTGATGATGATGATGGTACTGGTGATGATGATGATGGTACTCGTAGTGGTAGTGATGATGATGGTACTGGTGATGGTGATGGTGCTGGTAGTGATGATGATGGTACTGGTGATGATGATGGTACTGGTAGTGATGATGATGGTACTGGTGATGATGATGGTACTGGTGATGATGATGGTACTGGTAGTGATGATGATGGTACTGGTGATGATGATGGTACTGGTGATGATGATGGTACTGGTGATGATGATGATGGTGCTGGTGGTGATGATGATGGTAGTGATGATGATGGTACTGGTGATGATGGTACTGGTGATGGTGATGATGATGGTGCTGGTGGTGATGATGATGGTAGTGATGATGATGGTACTGGTGATGATGGTACTGGTGATGGTGATGATGATGGTACTGGTGATGATGATGGTACTGGTAGTGATGATGATGGTACTGGTGATGATGACGATGATGGTCCTGGTGATGATGATGATGATGGTGCCGATGGCTCTACTGGCGGCGGTGTCTGCGCGGTGCAGCAGCTGCTGGGGCAGCAGAAGGCGAGCGAGTCGGAGGAGTCTCGCCGTGTGCAGGCCGAGCGAGAGGCTGCTGCTCGTCGGGCCCAGCAGCTGCACGAGGAGACGGCAAAGTTGAGAGCCGAGGTGTCAAGGTGAGGGCCCCCTGCCGGAGTTACAGTCAACACCGTTACACTGTGTGTGTGTGTGTTAGTGTGTGTGTGTTACTGTGTGTGTGTCTGTGTGTGTCACTGTGTGTGTTACTGTGTGTGTGTTACTGTGTGTGTGTTACTGTGTGTGTGTGTGTGTGTCACTGTGTGTGTGTTACTGTGTGTGTGTGTTACTGTGTGTGTGTGTTACTGTGTGTGTGTGTCACTGTGTGTGTGTCACTGTGTGTGTCACTGTGTGTGTGTGTGTCACTGTGTGTGTGTGTGTTACTGTGTGTGTGTGTTACTGTGTGTGTGTGTGTGTCACTGTGTGTGTGTGTCACTGTGTGTGTCACTGTGTGTGTGTCACTGTGTGTGTGTGTGTCACTGTGTGTGTGTGTTACTGTGTGTGTGTGTTACTGTGTGTGTGTCACTGTGTGTGTGTGTGTTACTGTGTGTGTGTCACTGTGTGTGTGTGTGTTACTGTGTGTGTGTGTGTGTCACTGTGTGTGTGTGTTACTGTGTGTGTGTGTTACTGTGTGTGTGTTACTGTGTGTGTGTCACTGTGTGTGTCACTGTGTGTGTGTGTCACTGTGTGTGTGTTACTGTGTGTGTCACTGTGTGTGTGTGTTACTGTGTGTGTGTGTGTGTTACTGTGTGTGTGTGTGTCACTGTGTGTGTGTGTGTGTTACTGTGTGTGTGTGTCACTGTGTGTGTGTGTGTGTTACTGTGTGTGTGTGTCACTGTGTGTGTGTGTGTTACTGTGTGTGTGTGTCACTGTGTGTGTGTGTGTTACTGTGTGTGTGTGTCACTGTGTGTGTGTGTGTTACTGTGTGTGTGTGTCACTGTGTGTGTGTGTGTCACTGTGTGTGTGTGTTACTGTGTGTGTGTGTGTGTCACTGTGTGTGTGTGTGTGTCACTGTGTGTGTGTGTGTTACTGTGTGTGTGTGTGTGTCACTGTGTGTGTGTCACTGTGTGTGTGTGTGTTACTGTGTGTGTGTGTTACTGTGTGTGTGTCACTGTGTGTGTGTGTCACTGTGTGTGTGTGTTACTGTGTGTGTGTGTTACTGTGTGTGTGTGTGTCACTGTGTGTGTGTGTTACTGTGTGTGTGTGTTACTGTGTGTGTGTGTGTCACTGTGTGTGTGTGTTACTGTGTGTGTGTGTGTGTTACTGTGTGTGTGTGTCACTGTGTGTATCACTGTGTGTGTGTGTTACTGTGTGTGTGTGTTACTGTGTGTGTGTGTTACTGTGTGTGTGTGTGTCACTGTGTGTGTGTGTTACTGTGTGTGTGTGTTACTGTGTGTGTGTTACTGTGTGTGTGTGTGTGTGTGTCACTGTGTGTGTGTGTGTTAGTGTGTGTGTGTGTTACTGTGTGTGTGTGTCACTGTGTGTGTCACTGTGTGTGTGTGTGTCACTGTGTGTGTGTCACTGTGTGTGTGTCACTGTGTGTGTCACTGTGTGTGTGTCACTGTGTGTGTGTCACTGTGTGTGTGTGTGTCACTGTGTGTGTGTGTTACTGTGTGTGTGTGTGTGTCACTGTGTGTGTGTGTTACTGTGTGTGTGTGTGTCACTGTGTGTGTGTGTGTGTTACTGTGTGTGTGTGTCACTGTGTGTGTGTGTGTGTTACTGTGTGTGTGTGTCACTGTGTGTGTGTGTGTTACTGTGTGTGTGAGTCACTGTGTGTGTGTGTGTCACTGTGTGTGTGTGTCACTGTGTGTGTGTGTTACTGTGTGTGTGTGTCACTGTGTGTGTGTCACTGTGTGTGTGTCACTGTGTGTGTGTGTTACTGTGTGTGTGTGTTACTGTGTGTGTGTGTTACTGTGTGTGTGTGTGTGTTAGTGTGTGTGTGTGTGTGTTAGTGTGTGTGTGTGTGTTAGTGTGTGTGTGTGTGTCACTGTGTGTGTGTGTCACTGTGTGTGTGTGTGTTACTGTGTGTGTGTGTGTGTTACTGTGTGTGTGTGTGTTACTGTGTGTGTTACTCTGTGTGTGTTACTGTGTGTGTGTGTGTTACTGTGTGTGTGTGTGTTACTGTGTGTTACTGTGTGTGTGTGTTACTGTGTGTGTGTGTTACTGTGTGTGTGTGTCACTGTGTGTGTGTGTCACTGTGTGTGTGTTACTGTGTGTGTGTGTGTCACTGTGTGTTAGTGTGTGTGTGTGTCACTGTGTGTGTGTCACTGTGTGTGTGTGTCACTGTGTGTGTGTGTGTCACTGTGTGTGTGTGTGTTACTGTGTGTGTGTGTTACTGTGTGTGTGTCACTGTGTGTGTGTGTCACTGTGTGTGTGTTACTGTGTGTGTGTGTCACTGTGTGTGTGTGTTACTGTGTGTGTGTGTGTGTCACTGTGTGTGTGTGTTACTGTGTGTGTGTGTGTGTCACTGTGTGTGTGTGTCACTGTGTGTGTGTGTTACTGTGTGTGTGTGTGTGTGTCACTGTGTGTGTGTCACTGTGTGTGTGTGTTACTGTGTGTGTGTGTGTCACTGTGTGTGTGTGTGTTACTGTGTGTGTGTGTCACTGTGTGTGTGTGTTACTGTGTGTGTGTGTCACTGTGTGTGTGTGTGTTACTGTGTGTGTGAGTCACTGTGTGTGTGTGTGTCACTGTGTGTGTGTGTTACTGTGTGTGTGTGTCACTGTGTGTGTGTTACTGTGTGTGTGTGTCACTGTGTGTGTGTCACTGTGTGTGTGTGTTACTGTGTGTGTGTGTTACTGTGTGTGTGTGTCACTGTGCGTGTGTTAGTGTGTGTGTGTGTGTGTGTCACTGTGTGTGTGTGTCACTGTGTGTGTGTGTGTTACTGTGTGTGTCACTGTGTGTGTGTGTGTTACTGTGTGTGTGTGTGTGTTACTGTGTGTGTTACTGTGTGTGTGTGTTACTGTGTGTGTGTGTGTTACTGTGTGTTACTGTGTGTGTGTGTTACTGTGTGTGTGTGTGTGTGTTACTGTGTGTGTGTGTGTTACTGTGTGTGTGTGTTACTGTGTGTGTGTGTTACTGTGTGTGTGTGTTACTGTGTGTGTGTGTCACTGTGTGTGTGTCACTGTGTGTGTGTGTGTTACTGTGTGTGTGTTACTGTGTGTGTGTCACTGTGTGTGTGTGTTACTGTGTGTGTGTGTGTCACTGTGTGTGTGTGTGTTACTGTGTGTGTGTGTGTTACTGTGTGTGTGTCACTGTGTGTGTGTCACTGTGTGTGTGTTAGTGTGTGTGTGTGTGTTACTGTGTGTGTGTGTGTCACTGTGTGTGTGTGTGTCACTGTGTGTGACTGTGTGTGTGTGTTACTGTGTGTGTGTGTGTCACTGTGTGTGTGTGTGTGTTACTGTGTGTGTGTGTCACTGTGTGTGTGTGTGTCACTGTGTGTGTGTGTCACTGTGTGTGTGTGTCACAGTGTGTGTGTGTCACTGTGTGTGTGTGTGTTACTGTGTGTGTGTGTGTTACTGTGTGTGTGTGTGTCACTGTGTGTGTGTGTGTGTTACTGTGTGTGTGTGTGTCACTGTGTGTGTGTGTGTGTTACTGTGTGTGTGTGTGTTACTGTGTGTGTGTGTGTTACTGTGTGTGTGTGTTACTGTGTGTGTGTGTCACTGTGTGTGTGTGTGTTACTGTGTGTGTGTGTTACTGTGTGTGTGTGTTACTGTGTGTGTGTGTCACTGTGTGTGTGTGTCACTGTGTGTGTTACTGTGTGTGTGTGTTACTGTGTGTGTGTGTTACTGTGTGTGTGTCACTGTGTGTGTGTGTGTCACTGTGTGTGTGTGTCACTGTGTGTGTGTGTCACTGTGTGTGTGTGGCACTGTGTGTGTGTGTGGCACTGTGTATGTGTGTGTGTTACTGTGTGTGTGTGTGTTACTGTGTGTGTGTGTGTTACTGTGTGTGTGTGTCACTGTGTGTGTGTTACTGTGTGTGTGTGTTAGTTACTGTGTGTGTGTTACTGTGTGTGTGTGTGTGTTACTGTGTGTGTGTTACTGTGTGTGTGTGTGTGTTACTGTGTGTGTGTTACTGTGTGTGTGTGTGTCACTGTGTGTGTGTGTGTGTGTCACTGTGTGTCACTGTGTGTGTGTGTGTGTGTTACTGTGTGTGTGTTACTGTGTGTGTGTGTGTCACTGTGTGTGTGTGTGTTAATGTGTGTGTGTGTCACTGTGTGTGTGTCACTGTGTGTGTGTGTCACTGTGTGTGTGTTACTGTGTGTGTGTGTCACTGTGTGTGTGTCACTGTGTGTGTGTCACTGTGTGTGTGTCACTGTGTGTGTGTCACTGTGTGTGTGTGTGTGTTAATGTGTGTGTGTGTCACTGTGTGTGTGTGTCACTGTGTGTGTGTGTCACTGTGTGTGTGTTACTGTGTGTGTGTGTCACTGTGTGTGTGTGTCACTGTGTGTGTGTGTCACTGTGTGTGTGTGTCACTGTGTGTGTGTGTCACTGTGTGTGTGTGTCACTGTGTGTGTCACTGTGTGTGTGTGTCACTGTGTGTGTGTGTCACTGTGTGTGTGTGTCACTGTGTGTGTGTCTCTGTGTGTGTGTCTCTGTGTGTGTGTCTCTGTGTGTGTGTCTCTGTGTGTGTGTCTCTGTGTGTGTGTCTCTGTGTGTGTGTCTCTGTGTGTGTGTCTCTGTGTGTGTGTCTCCGTGTCTCGGCCGCGCAGGCTGTCCGCGTCTCTGGGCACGTCCCAGTCCCAGGCGGTGTCTCTCCGAGCGGACGTGGCTCTATGTGTGTCTCTGTGTCACTGTGTGTGTCACTGTGTGTGTCACTGTGTGTGTCACAGTGTGTGTCTGTGTCTCCGTGTCTCTGTGTGTGTCACCGTGTGTGTCTCTGTTTCACCGTGTGTGTGTGTCTCTGTGTCAATGTGTGTGTGTCACTGTGTGTGTCACTGTGTCACTGTGTGTGTGTCTGTGTCACCGTGTGTGTGTCACTGTGTGTCACTGTGTCACTGTGTGTGTGTCACTGTGTCACTGTGTGTGTGTCTCCCTGTGTCTCTGTGTCACCGTGTGTGTCACTGTGTGTGTGTCACAGCGTGTGTGTGTGTGTCTGTGTCTGTGTCACCGTGTGTGTCTCTGTGTGTGTGTGTCTCTGTCTCCGTGTCTCCGTGTCTCGGCAGGCTGTCCGCGTCTCTGGGCACGTCCCAGTTTCAGGCGGTGTCTCTCCGAGCGGACGTGGCTCTATGTGTGTGTGTCACAGTGTGTGTCACAGTGTGTGTCACTGTGTGTGTCACAGTGTCTCTGTGTGTGTGTGTCTCTGTGTCACAGTCTGTGTCACAGTGTGTGTGTCTCTGTGTCTCTGTGTCTCTGTGTGTGTGTCTCCGTGTCTCGGCAGGCTGTCCGCGTCTCTGGGCACGTCCCAGTCCCAGGCGGTGTCTCTCCGAGCGGACGTGGCTCTATGTGTGTGTGTCACTGTGTGTGTCACAGTGTGTGTCTGTGTCTCCGTGTCACTGTGTGTGTCACAGTGTGTGTGTCTCTGTGTCACTGTGTGTGTGTCACTGTGTGTGTGTCACTGTTTGTGTGTCTCTGTGTCTCTGTGTCACCGTGTGTGTCGCTGTGTCACTGTGTGTGTCTCTGTGTGTGTGTGTCTCTGTGTGTGTGTGTCTCTGTGTGTGTGTCTCTTTGTGTGTGTCTCTGTGTGTGTGTCTCTGTGTGTGTGTGTCTCTGTGTCTCTGTGTCACCGTGTGTGTCGCTGTGTCACCGTGTGTGTGTCTCTGTGTCTCTGTGTCACCGTGTGTGTGTCTCTGTGTCACTGTGTGTGTCTCTGTGTCTCCGTGTCTCCGTGTCTCGGCAGGCTGTCCGCGTCTCTGGGCACGTCCCAGTCCCAGGCGGTGTCTCTCCGAGCGGACGTGGCTCTATGTGTGTGTGTCACTGTGTGTGTCTCCGTGTCACTGTGTGTGTCTCTGTGTGTGTCTCCGTGTCACCGTGTGTGTCTCTGTGTGTGTCTCTGTGTCACTGTGTGTGTCTCTGTGTGTGTCTCCGTGTCTCGGCAGGCTGTCCGCGTCTCTGGGCACGTCCCAGTCCCAGGCGGTGTCTCTCCGAGCGGACGTGGCTCTATGTGTGTGTCACTGTGTGTGTCTCTGTGTGTGTCTCTGTGTCACTGTGTGTGTCTCTGTGTCTCTGTGTGTGTGTGTCTCCGTGTCTCGGCAGGCTGTCCGCGTCTCTGGGCACGTCCCAGTCCCAGGCGGTGTCTCTCCGAGCGGACGTGGCTCTATGTGTGTGTCACTGTGTGTGTCACTGTGTATCTCTGTGTCACTGTGTGTGTCTCTGTGTCTCTGTCTCCGTGTCTCCGTGTCTCGGCAGGCTGTCCGCGTCTCTGGGCACGTCCCAGTCCCAGGCGGTGTCTCTCCGAGCGGACGTGGCTCTATGTGTGTGTGTCACTGTGTGTGTCTCCGTGTCACTGTGTGTGTCTCTGTGTGTGTCTCCGTGTCACCGTGTGTGTCTCTGTGTGTGTCTCTGTGTCACTGTGTGTGTCTCTGTGTGTGTCTCCGTGTCTCGGCAGGCTGTCCGCGTCTCTGGGCACGTCCCAGTCCCAGGCGGTGTCTCTCCGAGCGGACGTGGCTCTATGTGTGTGTGTCACTGTGTGTATCTCTGTGTCACTGTGTGTGTCTCTGTGTCTCTGTCTCCGTGTCTCCGTGTCTCGGCAGGCTGTCCGCGTCTCTGGGCACGTCCCAGTCCCAGGCGGTGTCTCTCCGAGCGGACGTGGCTCTATGTGTGTGTGTCACTGTGGTGTCACTGCGTGTGTGTCTCTGTGTGTGTCTCTCTGTCACTGTGTGTGTGTCTCTGTGTGTGTGTGTCTCCGTGTCACTGTGTGTGTCTCTGTGTGTGTCTCTGTGTCACTGTGTGTCTCTCTGTGTGTGTGTCTCCGTGTCTCGGCAGGGTGTCCGCGTCTCTGGGCACGTCCCAGTCCCAGGCGGTGTCTCTCCGAGCGGACGTGGCTCTATGTGTGTGTGTGTCACAGTGTGTGTCACAGTGTGTGTGTCTATCCGTGTCTCTGTGTGTGTCTCCGTGTCTCCGCCGCGCAGGCTGTCCGCGTCTCTGGGCACGTCCCAGTCCCAGGCGGTGTCTCTCCGAGCGGACGTGGCTCTATGTGTGTGTGTGTGTCACAGTGTGTGTCACAGTGTGTGTGTCTATCCGTGTCTCTGTGTGTGTCTCCGTGTCTCCGCCGCGCAGGCTGTCCGCGTCTCTGGGCACGTCCCAGTCCCAGGCGGTGTCTCTCCGAGCGGACGTGGCTCTATGTGTGTGTGTCACTGTGTGTGTCTCCGTGTCACTGTGTGTGTCTCTGTGTGTGTCTCCGTGTCACTGTGTGTGTCTCTGTGTGTGTCTCTGTGTCACTGTGTGTGTCTCTGTGTGTGTGTCTCCGTGTCTCGGCAGGCTGTCCGCGTCTCTGGGCACGTCCCAGTCCCAGGCGGTGTCTCTCCGAGCGGACGTGGCTCTATGTGTGTGTCACTGTGTGTGTCACTGTGTGTGTCTCTGTGTCACTGTGTGTGTCTCTGTGTCTCTGTCTCCGTGTCTCCGTGTCTCGGCAGGCTGTCCGCGTCTCTGGGCACGTCCCAGTCCCAGGCGGTGTCTCTCCGAGCGGACGTGGCTCTATGTGTGTGTCACTGTGTGTGTCACAGTGTGTGTGTCTCCGTGTCTCTGTGTGTGTCTCTGTGTCACTGTGTGTGTCTCTGTGTCTCTGTGTGTGTGTCTCCGTGTCTCCGCCGCGCAGGCTGTCCGCGTCTCTGGGCACGTCCCAGTCCCAGGCGGTGTCTCTCCGAGCGGACGTGGCTCTATGTGTGTGTGTCACAGTGTGTGTGTGTCTCTGTGTCACTGTGTGTGTCTCTGTGTCTCTGTGTGTGTGTCTCCGTGTCTCCGCCGCGCAGGCTGTCCGCGTCTCTGGGCACGTCCCAGTCCCAGGCGGTGTCTCTCCGAGCGGACGTGGCTCTGTGTGTGTGTCACAGTGTGTGTGTCTCTGTGTGTGTGTCTATCCGTGTCTCTGTGTGTGTCACTGTGTCACTGTGTGTGTCTCTGTGTGTGTGTCTCCGTGTCTCGGCAGGCTGTCCGCGTCTCTGGGCACGTCCCAGTCCCAGGCGGTGTCTCTCCGAGCGGACGTGGCTCTGTGTGTGTGTGTCACTGTGTGTGTCACTGTGTGTGTGTCTCTGTGTGTGTCTCTCTGTCACTGTGTGTGTCACTGTGTGTGTGTCTCTGTGTCACTGTGTGTGTCTCTGTGTCTCCGTGTCTCCGTGTCTCGGCAGGCTGCCCGCGTCTCTGGGCACGTCCCAGTCCCAGGCGGTGTCTCTCCGAGCGGACGTGGCTCTATGTCTGTGTCTCTGTGTGTGTCTCTGTGTCTCTGTGTGTGTGTCTCCGTGTCTCGGCAGGCTGTCCGCGTCTCTGGGCACGTCCCAGTCCCAGGCGGTGTCTCTCCGAGCGGACGTGGCCCGCGTCTCCGCCGAGAGGGACGAGCTAAAGAGACAAGCGGAGACACGGGCAGAGGACATTGCAGACAAGGTCAAGACCATCAACCAGGTACTCGCTGGGGGGGGCGGGGGGTGGGGGGTGGAGACACGGGGGGGGGGGTGGAGACACGGGGGGGGGGGTGGAGACACGGGGGGGGGGGTGGAGACACGGGGGGGGGGGGGGTGGAGACACGGGGGGGGGGGGTGGAGACACGGGGGGGGGGGGGTGGAGACACGGGGGGGGGGTGGAGACACGGGGACACTGAATCGTTGTCTTCACAAGTGGGGTACTGCCCCTCCCCCCTTCCCCCCCTCCCCCCTCCCCCTCCCCCCTTCCCCCCTCCCCCTCCCCCTCCCCCCTTCCCCCCCTCCCCCCCCCTCCCCCCCTTCCCCGGGTGGTCCAGGTCAAGAAGATTGGCAGGCGCTACAAGGCTCAGTACGAGGAGCTGAAGGCTCTCCATGACCAGGTGACCCCCTCTCTCTACCCACAATCCCCTCTGTCTCTACCCACAATCCCCTCTGTCTCTACCCACAATCCCCTCTGTCTCTACCCACAATCCCCTCTGTCTCTACCCACAATCCCTCTCTCTCTACCCACAATCCTCTCTGTCTACCCACAATCCTCTCTGTCTACCCACAATCCTCTCTGTCTACCCACAATCCTCTCTGTCTACCCACAATCCTCTCTCTAGCCACAATCCCCTCTCTCTACCGACAATCCTCTCTCTCTCTACCCACAATCCTCTCTCTCTACCCACAATCCTCTCTCTACCCACAATCCTCTCTCTACCCACAATCCTCTCTGTCTACCCACAATCCTCTCTCTACCCACAATCCTCTCTCTCTACCCACAATCCTCTCTCTCTCTACCCACAATCTTCTCTCTCTCTACCCACAATCCCCTCTGACTACCCACAATCCTCTCTGACTACCCACAATCCTCTCTGACTATCCACAATCCTCTCTACCCACAATCCTCTCTCTCTGTCTACCCACAATCCTCTCTCTCTGTCTACCCACAATCCTCTCTCTCTGTCTACCCACAATCCTCTCTGTCTACCCACAATCCTCTCTCTCTACCCACAATCCCCTTTCTCTACCCACAATCCTCTCTGTCTACCCACAATCCTCTCTCTACCCACAATCCTCTCTCTCTACCCACAATCCTCTCTCTCTACCCACAGTCCTCTCTGTCTCTACCCACAATCCTCTCTCTACCCACAATCCTCTCTCTCTACCCACAATCCCCTGTCTACCCGCAATCCTCTCTCTCTACCCACAATCCTCTCTCTCTACCCACAATCCTCTCTCTCTACCCACAATCCTCTCTCTCTCTACCCACAATCCTCTCTCTCTCTACCCACAATCCCCTCTGTCTTTACCCACAACCCTCTCTGTCTTTACCCACAATCCTCTCTGCCTAGTGCTGCCCCGCTTCCCTCTCTACCCACCATCCTCTCTGCCAGTGCCGCCCCCTTCTGTCACCTACCCACAATCCCCTCTGTCTGTGCCCCCCGCCCTCCACCACCAGCTGGTGGCGGAGAGGGCCCAGCAGGGGTCAGAGGTCGCCGCGGGCCCCCCGCCCGGGCCCGAGGCTCAGGCCCAGGCCCAGGCGAGCCAGCAGGCTTCGGCCCAGACGCAGGCCGAGCTGCAGCAGGCGGAGGCCCGGGTGAGGGCGCTGGAAACTCAGCTGGAGACAGCGCAGCAGGTCAGTGGTGAGGGTGAGCGTAGTGGTGAGTGGTGAGGGTGTGAGTGGTGAGTGTCGTGGTGAGGGTGAGTGGTGAGTGTCGTGGTGAGTGTCGTGGTGAGGGTCAGGGCGCTGGAAACTCAGCTGGAGACAGCACAGCAGGTCAGTGGTGAGGGTGAGTGGTGAGGGTGAGTGGTGAGTGGTGAGTGGTGAGTGTCGTGGTGAGGGTGAGTGGTGAGTGGTGAGTGTCGTGGTGAGGGTCAGGGCGCTGGAAACTCAGCTGGAGACAGCGCAGCAGGTCAGTGGTGAGGGTGAGTGGTGAGGGTGAGTGGTGAGGGTGAGTGGTGAGTGGTGAGTGGTGAGGGTGAGGGTGAGCGTAGTGGTGAGGGTGAGTGGTGAGTGGTGAGTGTCGTGGTGAGTGTCGTGGTGAGGGTGAGGGCGCTGGAAACTCAGCTGGAGACAGCGCAGCAGGTCAGTGGTGAGGGTGAGTGGTGAGGGTGAGTGGTGAGTGGTGAGGGTGAGTGGTGAGTGGTGAGGGTGAGTGTAGTGGTGAGGGTGAGGGTGAGTGGTGAGTGTCGTGGTGAGGGTGAGGGCCCTGGAAACTCAGCTGGAGACAGCGCAGCAGGTCAGTGGTGAGGGTGAGTGGTGAGGGTGAGTGGTGAGTGGTGAGTGTCGTGGTGAGGGTGAGTGGTGAGTGGTGAGGGTGAGTGTCGTGGTGAGTGTCGTGGTGAGGGTGAGGGTGAGGGCGCTGGAAACTCAGCTGGAGATAGCGCAGCAGGTCAGTGGTGAGGGTGAGTGGTGAGGGTGAGTGGTGAGGGTGAGGGTGAATGGTGAGGGTGAGTGGTGAGTGTCGTGGTGAGGGTGAGGGCGCTGGAAACTCAGCTGGAGACAGCGCAGCAGGTCAGTGGTGAGGGTGAGTGGTGAGGGTGAGGGTGAGCGTAGTGGTGAGGGTGAGGGTGAGTGGTGAGGGTGAGTGGTGAGTGGTGAGTGTCGTGGTGAGGGTGAGTGGTGAGTGGTGAGTGTCGTGGTGAGGGTGAGGGCCCTGGAAACTCAGCTGGAGACAGCGCAGCAGGTCAGTGGTGAGGGTGAGTGGTGAGGGTGAGGGTGAGCGTAGTGGTGAGGGTGAGGGTGAGTGGTGAGGGTGAGTGGTGAGGGTGAGCGTAGTGGTGAGGGTGAGGGTGAGTGGTGAGGGTGAGTGGTGAGTGGTGAGTGTTGTGGTGAGGGTGAGGGTGAGTGGTGAGGGTGAGTGGTGAGTGTTGTGGTGAGTGTTGTGGTGAGTGGTGAGGGTGAGTGGTGAGTGTCGTGGTGAGTGTCGTGGTGAGGGTGAGGGCGCTGGAAACTCAGCTGGAGACAGCGCAGCAGGTCAGTGGTGAGGGTGAGTGGTGAGTGGTGAGTGGTGAGGGTGAGTGGTGAGGGTGAGGGTGAATGTCGTGGTGAGGGTGAGCGTCGTGGTGAGTGTTGTGGTGAGTGTTGTGGTGAGGGTGAGTGTGAGGGTGAGGGTGAATGTCGTGGTGAGGGTGAGCGTCGTGGTGAGGGTGAGCGTAGTGGTGAGGGTGAGCGTAGTGGTGAGTGTCGTGGTGAGGGTGAGCGTAGTGGTGAGGGTGAGCGTAGTGGTGAGTGTCGTGGTGAGGGTGAGCGTCGTGGTGAGGGTGAGCGTAGTGGTGAGTGTCGTGGTGAGGGTGAGCGTCGTGGTGAGGGTGAGCGTAGTGGTGAGTGTCGTGGTGAGGGTGAGCGTCGTGGTGAGGGTGAGCGTAGTGGTGAGGGTGAGTGGTGAGGGTGAGTGGTGAGGGTGAGCGTAGTGGTGAGGGTGAGTGGTGAGGGTGAGTGTTGTGGTGAGGGTGAGTGGTGAGTGGTGAGGGTGAGCGTCGTGGTGAGGGTGAGTGTCGTGGTGAGGGTGAGCGTCGTGGTGAGGGTGAGCGTAGTGGTGAGTGTCGTGGTGAGGGTGAGCGTCGTGGTGAGGGTGAGCGTAGTGGTGAGGGTGAGTGGTGAGGGTGAGTGGTGAGGGTGAGCGTAGTGGTGAGTGTCGTGGTGAGGGTGAGCGTAGTGGTGAGGGTGAGCGTCGTGGTGAGGGTGAGTGTCGTGGTAAGTGGTGAGGGTGAGTGGTGAGGGTGAGTGTAGTGGTGAGGGTGAGGGGGGGTGGTGATGATCTGTGCTCATAATGCTATTGCTGCTCCTGGTGTGTGTGTGTGTACGAGTGTTTGTGCGAGCGTGTGTGTGTCTGTGTGTGTGTCTGTGTGTGTGTCTGTGTGTGTCACTGTGTGTGTCACTGTGTGTGTGTCTCTGTGTGTGTGTCCCTGTGTGTGTGTCTCTGTGTGTGTGTCTCTGTGTGTGTGTGTGTGTATCACTGTGTGTGTGTGTCACTGCGTGTGTGTCACTGTGTGTGTCACTGTGTGTGTGTGTCACTGTGTGTGTGTGTCACTGTGTGTGTGTGTCACTGTGTGTGTGTGTGTGTCACTGTGTGTGTGTGTCACTGTGTGTGTGTGTGTCACTGTGTGTGTGTGTCACTGTGTGTGTGTGTCACTGTGTGTGTATCACTGTGTGTGTGTATCACTGTGTGTGTCACTGTGTGTGTGTATCACTGTGTGTGTCACTGTGTGTGTGTGTCACTGTGTGTGTGTGTCACTGTGTGTGTCACTGTGTGTGTCACTGTGTGTGACACTGTGTGTGTCACTGTGTGTGACACTGTGTGTGTCACTGTGTGTGTGTGTCACTGTGTGTGTGTCACTGTGTGTGTGTCACTGTGTGTGTGACTGTGTGTCACTGTGTGTGTGTCACTGTGTGTGTGACTGTGTGTGTGTATCACTGTGTGTGTGTCACTGTGTGTGTGTGTGACTGTGTGTGTGTGTATCACTGTGTGTGTGTCACTGTGTGTGTGTGTCACTGTGTGTGTGTGTCACTGTGTGTGTGTGTCACTGTGTGTGTGTGTCACTGTGTGTGTGTGTCACTGTGTGTGCGTGTCACTGTGTGTGCGTGTCACTGTGTGTGTGTGTGTCACTGTGTGTGTGTCACTGTGTGTGTGTGTGACTTTGTGTGTGTGTATCACTGTGTGTGTGTGTCAAAACAACCCCCTACCTCCTCGCGGTGCCGGACGGGCAACTCTGTCGTGGACAGCGCTGTGGGGGGAGATCCAATTTTGATTGGCTCCTCCCCTCATGGCATATGTGTCCACCACAGGGGCTAAACGGGGGCTCTGGACGGGTGCGAGGGGCTGGTAACCCCTCCACCTTCAATTAATTACCACGAAACTACGAATTAAACTGAAATATGTAACAACTAAGCTTGTGCCGGAGGCCCCGGGGGGCCAGGCGTCTATGACGTCTCCTGGCCAAACCCCAATTGGCGGAGCCAGGAGATTGAATACCTACCCTCGGGGCTACTCCAGAAACAACGAAAAGCCACTACGGTTGGCCACGTGGAATGTTCGAACGCTCACTGCAGAGGAGAGGCTGCCACTCCTCTGTCGGGAGCTGGACCGGTACCGCCTGGATCTATGCGGCATTCAGGAGGTCCGGTGGACCGGCTCTGGCTCCTGCCACCATGAGGGGTGGACAGTCCTCTACTCGGGGCAGCAGACTGCCAAACAACAGGGTGTGGGTCTTCTTTTGAACAAAAGAATGAAGGGGGCGTGGGAGCGTGGCGGTGAGGTGTGGGAAGCTGTAAGCCCCAGGCTACTTTGGGCTCGCCTTCCCATCAACCGGAGGCGAGGAATGGTGGTCGTGGTTACTTATGCCCCCACCGAAGATGAACATCCGTGGAGGGATGCAGGCAAAGCCGATGAGTCAGATGCCTTCTATGACCTCCTGTCACAGGTGCTGGCTAAAGTGGCCCCTCGGGATAGAGTCATCATGTTGGGTGACTTCAATGCCCGAGTTGGTCATGATACTGGCACCTGGTCTGGAGTGATTGGAGGGCATGGGCCAGATCAGCTCAATAACAACGGTAGGAGGCTGCTAGATTTTGTGCAGCCCATGGGCTTGTAATTACCAACACGCTGTTCCGGCATCGGCGCATCCACACAACATCATGGATGCATGCCGGGTCCAAGCAAGAACATCTGCTGGACTACATAGTGACGGACCAGCGAATGCGAGCCCATGTCCTTGACACCAGGACCTACCGTGGAGCTGATCTGCCCTCTGACCATCGACTAGTCATCTGTAAGATGCGCCTGCCATTCTTCCACTCCGGTGGTGGGTGTACACCCAGGACCCCATTCCAACATAAAGTGGCCTGGTCTCAGTTATCTGATGAAAGTTGCAAGCGAGAATTTCATCATCGCTTGCGGCTGGGATTGGCATCGTCCCCGACTCCTCCTGATGTCGAGGGTAAATGGGCGAGGTTTAGGACTGTGACTCATGCAGCTGCAATGGCTGCTTTGGGTACGCGGTCCAGACCTCCCCAGACACCCTGGATGACAGAGGAGTTGTTCACGATGGTTGAGAAAAAGCGACAGGCCCACTGTCATCGGCTACAGAATCCCACGTCAGAGAATGAGGAGGCTTACCGCAGCCTTCGCTCGGAGGTTCGGAGAGCCGTGAGGCGCTGCAAGGATGGGTGGTGGTCGCGGGTTGCTGAGGAGATGGAGTCTGCCTCAGTGGCCCGTGATCACAAATCTCTATTTAACTCCATCAAAAAAGTAACCTGCAGCGCCACACCTATTACCATCATTAGGGGAAAAAACGGTGATCCAATTTCCGACCCCCAGGAACAGGTTCGCAGATTTGCTGAGCATTTCTGTGAGGTCCTGGGGGAGGGAAAATCCCTCAGCCAGGAAAACATCGTGGCACAAAGTGAGGATGACCCTGCTGAGGCTGCGGTGCCTCAAATATTGGATGAAGTCACCCCCTGTGAGTGGCTGGCTGAGGTGCCATCTGCTGAGGAAGTATTGAAGGCGATCCGGAGTCTGAGACCAGGAAAGGCAGCGGGCAGAGATGATCTCCCAAGCGAAATGCTGAGGGAGGGTGGCGTTTGTGCACAGACTGCCCTATATGACATCATAACAACAGTCTGGACCACTGGACGGGTTCCGCAGGATTGGAAGGATGCCCTGGTGGTCCCCCTTTTTAAGAAGGGGGACCGCACAGACTGTAACAACTACAGGGGCATCTCACTCCTCAGTGTGCCGGGAAAGGTCCTGGCAAGGATTATTCAGAATCGCCTTGCCAGGCACGCTGAGGAGAGGCTTGCGGAGCCCCAATGCGGTTTCAGGAAAGGGCGGTCCTGCACAGATGCCATATTTTCTGTCCGTCTGCTACAGCAGAGGTGTAGGGAATTCCAACAAGACCTACATCTCTGCTTTATTGACCTGGTCAAGGCCTATGATACCATCAGTAGGCCTGGGCTCTGGGTCGTTCTTCGTGCTATTGGAGTACCGGACCCTCTGCTCACGATCATTAAGGACCTTCATGATGGTGAGCGGGCCCGGGTAAAACTACGTGGCCGGGAGTCAGAGCCATTCCCTGTACACCTTGGGGTGCGACAGGGATGTCCTCTGGCTCCCACATTATTTAACATCTATTTTGACCACGTAGTTCGTGAAGCCTTCAATAGCTGTACCGGGGGAATCTCCATATGGTACAGATATAATGGGAGGCTAATCGATGCCCGGGTGCGGTCAAGGGATGGCTCCCTATTGCTCAACCACGTTATGTATGCTGATGACTTGGTAATAGCTGCTCAGTCAGAGGAGGAGTTGGAGACGCTGCTGCTGAGACTGGAGCGTGCCACTAAGAGGTGGGGCCTTACCATCAGCCCCACCAAAACTAAGCACCTGCCTGGGTATTTTGTACCATCGGACACTCCACCCCCACAACTCCCAATCGGTGATGGGGCAGTTGTGGAGAGAGTGGAGAGTTTCCCATACCTGGGCAGTGTGCTTATGACTGGCTCCAGTTTAACAGCAGAGGTCTCACTCCGAATCAGTCGAGCGGCAATATCTTTTCATCGGTTGCGTAACGCTGTGTGGAAGCTACCTGGTCTGTCGCTCCGCACTAAGCTTCAGGTCTTCTCGGCCACGGTCATTCCCTCCCTTCTCTACGCTTGCGAAACGTGGACCCCCCTAATGGAACATCTTCGCCGGTTAGAAACATTTAGGCTGGCCTGCCTACGATCCATCCTGGGTTTAACCAGACTGGATTGTGTGAGGAGCTCACAAATCCTTGAAAGATCTGGGCAGGGTCCCATCGGTGAGCTCCTCCGGCAGGCAAGGCTGCGATGGCTGGGTCATGTAGCCCGCATGCCCAGCCACCGCATGCCGAAACAGCTTTTGTTTGGCCGGATCGAGGGGGCTTAGCGGGCGCGGCACGGGCTAGAGAAGAGATGGAGTGATGTGGTACAGGAGGACGTGGAGCTGAGTGGACTTGCCTATGACCGGTACCAGCGGTGTCAAGATCGGCCTCTGTGGAGGAGGCTCGTGAAGGATGCTACTGGGCAGTTGGAGGCAGTCGCCCTCCAACAACAACGGAGGGCGGAGGAGCGACGCTCACAACAGCGAAGCGGAGCGCCGGGTGGCTAAAGCACAGCAGGTTGGCACAGTAGGGGGCACAGGTGGTGCATCAGCCAGTCATCTCAGTCAGTCGACCCGTGGCACCTGGGTCTGCCCGTGACCTCCTGCCAGCGGGCGTTCGACACTTCACGTTGCCTCAGGGTGCACATAGCCTGGCACAAGCGTCGTGGTGACGTCACCGCCACTTAGTGGCGAATGGCGGTTGTTGTTGTTGTTGTGTGTGTCACTGTGTGTGTGTGACTGTGTGTGTGTATCACTGTGTGTGTGTGTCACTGTGTGTGTGTGTCACTGTGTGTGTGTGTGTCACTGCGTGTGTGTGTCACTGCGTGTGTGTGTGTGTGTCACTGCGTGTGTGTGTCACTGTGTGTGTGTGTCACTGCGTGTGTGTGTGGTCACTGTGTGTGTGTGTCACTGCGTGTGTGTGTCACTGTGTGTGTCACTGTGTGTGTGTGTCACTGTGTGTGTGTGTCACTGTGTGTGACACTGTGTGTGTCACTGTGTCTGACACTGTGTGTGTCACTGTGTGTCTGTCACTGTGTGTGTGTGTCACTGTGTGTGTGTCACTGTGTGTGTGTCACTGTGTGTGTGTGTGTCACTGTGTGTGTGTGTGTCACTGTGTGTGTGTGTCACTGCGTGTGTCACTGTGTGTGTCACTGTGTGTGTGTGTCACTGTGTGTGTGTATCACTGTGTGTGTCACTGTGTGTATCACTGTGTGTGTCACTGTGTGTGTGTATCACTGTGTGTGTCACTGTGTGTGTGACTGTGTGTGTGTATCACTGTGTGTGTGTGGCTGTGTGTGTGTGTGGCTGTGTGTGTGTCACTGTGTGTGTGTCACTGTGTGTGTGTGTCACTGTGTGTGTGTGTCACTGTGTGTGTGTGTCACTGTGTGTGTGTATCACTGCGTGTGTGTGTGTCACTGTGCGTGTGTCACTGTGTGTGTCACTGTGTGTGTCACTGTGTGTGTCACTGTGTGTGTGTGTCACTGTGTGTGTGTGTGTCACTGTGTGTGTGTCACTGTGTGTGTGTCACTGTGTGTGTGTCACTGTGTGTGTGTGTCACTGTGTGTATCACTGTGTGTGTCACTGTGTGTGTGTCACTGTGTGTGTGTCACTGTGTGTATCACTGTGTGTGTCACTGTGTGTGTGACTGTGTGTGTCACTGTGTGTGTGTCTGTGTGTGTGTGTCACTGTGTGTGTGTGTGACTGTGTGTGTGTCACTGTGTGTGTGTGTCACTGTGTGTGTGTGTCACTGTGTGTGTGTGTGTCACTGCGTGTGTGTGTCACTGTGCGTGTGTCACTGTGTGTGTGACTGTGTGTCACTGCGTGTGTGTGTGTGTGTGACTGTGTGTGTGTGTCACTGCGTGTGTGTGTGTGTCACTGTGTGTGTGTTACTGTGTGTGTGTGTGTCACTGTGTGTGTGTGTCACTGTGTGTGTGTGTATCACTGTGTGTGTCACTGTGTGTGTGTCACTGTGTGTCACTGTGTGTGTGTCTGTGTGTGTGTGTCACTGTGTGTGTGTGTGTCACTGTGTGTGTGTGTCACTGTGTGTGTGTGTGTCACTGTGTGTGTGTGTGTAGGCGTTGCGAGTGCGTGACTCCGAGCTGGAGTCCCTGAGGGCCGAGGCTTCGGGCCGTGGCCGTGCCGAGGAGGCCCTGAGGGCCCAGCTGGGTGAGAAGGACGAGAAGGCTCGCAAGATGCTGCTGGCCGCACGCAACAAGATCACGCAGCTCAACGGTACCCCCCATATCCGCCGATTCACCACCATCCCCCCCGCCCCCATATCCGCCGATTCACCACCACCCCCCCCCGCCCCCATATCCGCCGATTCACCACCACCCCCCCCGCCCCCATATCCGCCGATTCACCACCACCACCCCCCGCCCCCATATCCGCCGATTCACCACCCCCCCCCCCCCATATCCGCCGATTCACCACTACCACCACCCTCCCGTATCCGCCGATTCACCACCCCCCCCCCCGCCCCCATATCCGCCGATTCACCACCACCCCCTCCCGTATCCGCCGATTCACCACCCCCCCCTCCCGCCCCCATATCCGCTGATTCAATACCACCCCCCCCATATCCACCGATTCACCACCACCCCCCCGCCCCCATATCCGCCGATTCACTACCATCTCCCGTATTTGCCGATTCACCACCACCACCCTCCCGTATCCGCCGATGATTAACCACCACCCCCCCGCCCCCCCCCCATATCCGCCGATTCAATACCACCCCCCCTACTCACTCACCCACCCACTCACCCACCCACTAACCCACTCATCCACCCACCAACTAACCCACCCACTCACCCACCAACTCACCCACCCCCCCTACTCACTCACCCACCCACTAACCCACTCATCCACCCACCAACTAACCCACCCACTCACCCACCAACTCACCCACCCCCCCTACTCACTCACCCACCCACTAACCCACTCATCCACCCACTAACTCACCCACCCCCCCTACTCACTCACCCACCCACTCACCCACCCACTAACTCACCCACCCCCCCTACTCACTCACCCACCCACTCTTCCATTCACCCACCCACTCACCCACCCACTAACTCATCCACCCACTCGCCCACTCACCCATTCACCCACCCACTGTCCCACCCACCCACTAACCCACCCACTAACCCATTCGCCCACCCACTGTCCCACCCACCCACTAACCCACCCACTAACCCATTCGCCCACCCACTCACCCATCCACCCACTAACCCACCCACCCACTCACCCACCCACTCACCCACCCACTAAATCACACACCCATTCACCCACCCATTCACCCACCCACTCACCCATTCACCCACTCACTCACCCACCCACTAACCCACCCACCCTATAACCCACCCACCCGCCCACTCACCCACCCGCCCACTCACCCACCCACCTACTAACCCACCCACCCACTAACCCACCCACCCACTAACCCACCCACCCACTAACTAACCCACTAACTAACCCACCCACTAACCCACCGACTCACCCACCCACTCACCCATTCACCCACCTACCCACCCATTCACCCACCCATTCACCCACTCACTCACCCACCCACTAACCCACCCACTCACCCACCCACTAACCCACCCGCCCACTCACCCACCCACCTACTAACCCACCCACCCACTAACCCACCCACCCACTAACTAACCCACTAACTAACCCACCCACTAACCCACCGACTAACCCACCCACTCACCCACCCACTCACCCACTCACCCACCCACTCACCCATTCACCCACCTACCCACCTATTCACCCACCCATTCACCCACTCACCCACCCACCCACTCACCCACCCACTAACCCACCCACCCACTAACCCACCCACCCGCCCACTCACCCACCCGCCAACTAACCCACCCACCCACTAACTAACCCACCCACTCACCCACCCATTCACCCATTCACCCACCTACCCACCCACCCACCTACCCACCCACTCACCCACCCATTCACCCACTCACTCACCCACCCATTCACCCACTAACCCACCCACCCACTCACCCACCCACCCACCTACCCACCCACTCACCCACCCACTAACCCACCCACTAACCCGCCCACTCACCCACCCGCCCACTAACCCGCCCGCCCGCCCGCCCGCCCGCCCGCCCACACAGCCTCCCGTGAGCAGCTGTCACGTCAGTGCGAGGTGCTCCGTGAGAGGCTGGCGGCTCAGGACGCCACACGTGAGGAGCTGGAGGGCCGCCTCAATGCCCTGCGCTCCCAGTACGAGCTGCGCATCTCCCGCCTCGACCTCCAGCTGCAGCAGCAGCAGCAGATGCAGCAGCAGCAGCAGCAGCAGATGCAGCAGCGCCAGCAGCTGCAGCAGCAGCAGCAGCTGATGCAGCAGCAGGAGCAGCAGCAGCAGCAGCAGCAGCAGGAAGGGAGGGATGACTCAATGGACGGAGGAAAGGTACACGTGGTGGTGGTGGTGGTGATGGTGGTGATGATGGTGGTGGTGGTGGTGGTCAGTGGTGGTGGTAGCAGTGGTGGTGGTTGTGGTAGCGGTGGTGGTGTAGCAGTGGTGGTGGTTATGGTTGTAGCAGTGGGGGTGGTTGTGGTAGCGGGGGTGGTTGTGGTAGCGGTTGTGGTAGTGGTGGTGGTGGTAGCAGTGGTGGTGGTTGTGGTAGTGGGGGTGGTTGTGGTAGTGGGGGTGGTTGTGGTAGTGGGGGTGGTTGTGGTAGCGGTGGTGGTGGTGTAGCAGTGGTGGTGGTTATGGTTGTAGCAGTGGGGGTGGTTGTGGTAGCGGTGGTGGTGGTGTAGCAGTGGTGGTGGTTATGGTTGTAGCAGTGGGGGTGGTTGTGGTAGCGGTGGTGGTGGTGGTGGTAGCAGTGGTGGTAGCAGTGATCGTGATGGTGGTTACAGTGATGGCGTTGATGGTGGTAGTGGTGGTGGTTATTGGTGATGGTGGTGGGGGTTGTTGTAGTATGGAGGAGACTCGTGAAGGACGCTGTTGGGCAGTACCAGGCTAGGTGCACCTTGAGGCTAATGGGCAGTTGGAGGCAATCGCCCTCCAACAACAACAGAGGGCGGAGGAGCGACGCTCACAACAACGAGTGGAGCGCCGGGTGGCTAAAGCACAGCGGGTTGGCACAGTAGGGGGCACAGGTGGTGCATCAGCCAGTCATCTCAGTCAGTCGACCCGTGGCACCTGCTGGGTCTGCCCCGTGACCTCCTGCCAGCGGGCGTTCGACACTTCACGTGGCCTCAAGGTGCACATGGCCTGGCACAAGTGTCGTGGTGACGTCACCGCCACTTAGTGGCGAATGGCGGTTGTTGTTGTTGTGTCTCTGTAACTGTGTGTGTGTGTCTGTGTGTGTATCTGTGTGTATGTGGTGATGTGTCTGTGTGTGTGTCTGTGTATCTCTGTGTCTGTCTATTTATCCGTGTCTGTGTCTTGCTGTGTCTTTGTGCGTCTGTGTGCAGGCCTTAGATGGACAGAGACCCTCTGACTCGCAGAGATCCATGGCACTCAAATCCTCCACGTCTGGGTGAGTCCTGCTGCTGATGCTGCTACTTACTATTAACTCCTGCTAACACTGCTGCTACTACTAACACTTCTGCTACTACTACTAACACTACTGCTGCTACTAACTGCTGCTACTATTAACACTGCTGCTACTACTAATACTGTTGGTACTACTAATACTGTTGGTACTACTAATACTGTTGGTACTACTAACACTGCTGCTACTACTAACACTGCTGCTACTACTAACACTACTGCTGCTACTACTAACACTACTGCTGCTACTAACTGCTGCTACTATTAACACTGCTGCTACTACTAATACTGTTGGTACTACTAATACTGTTGGTACTACTAACACTGCTGCTACTACTAACACTGCTACTACTACTACTAACACTACTGCTACTACTAACACTGCTGCTACTACTAACACTACTGCTGCTACTACTAACACTACTGCTGCTACTAACTGCTGCTACTACTAACACTGCTGCTGCTAACACTGCTGCTGCTACTAACACTGCTACTACTAACACTGCTGCTGCTACTAACACTGCTACTACTAACACTACTACTACTAACACTGTTGGTACTACTAACACTACTGCTACTAACACTACTGCTACTAACACTACTGCTACTACTAACACTGTTGGTACTACTAACACTACTGCTACTACTAACACTGCTACTACTAACACTGCTACTACTAACACTGCTACTACTAACACTGCTGCTACTACTAACACTACTGCTACTACTAACACTACTGCTACTACTAAAACTGCTGCTACTACTAACACTGCTACTACTAACACTGCTGCTACTACTAACACTACTGCTACTACTAACACTGCTGCTGCTACTAACACTGCTGCTACTACTAACACTGCTGCTGCTACTAACACTGCTGCTACTACTAACACTGCTGCTACTACTAACACTGCTACTACTAACACTGCTGCTACTACTAACACTGCTACTACTACTAACACTACTGCTACTACTAACACTGCTGCTACTACTAACACTACTGCTGCTACTAACACTGCTGCTACTACTAACACTGTTGCTACTACTATCACTGCTGCTACTACTAACACTGCTGCTGCTACTAACACTGCTGCTGCTACTTGCTTCTGCTGATACTGCTGCTGCTACTACTACCACCACCACTACTACCGCTACTACTACCGGCAGTATTTGACCGCGTGTGTGCGGGACTGTGTGTGTGTGTGTGGTGTGTCACCGTGTGTGACTGTGTGTGTGGTGTCACCGTGTGTGACTGTGTGTGTGGTGTCACCGTGTGTGACTGCTTGTGTGTGGGGTGTCACCGTGTGTGACTGTGTGTGGGGTGTCACCGTGTGTGACTGCCTGTGTGTGGGGTGTCACCGTGTGTGACTGTGTGTGGGGTGTCACCGTGTGTGACTGCCTGTGTGTGGGGTGTCACCGTGTGTGAGTGTGCGTGGTGTGTCACCGTGTGTGACTGTGTGTGTGGTGTGTCACCGTGTGTGACTGTGTGTGTGGTGTGTCACCGTGTGTGACTGTGTGTGTGGTGTGTCACCGTGTGTGACTGTGTGTGTGGTGTGTCACCGTGTGTGACTGTCTGTGTGTGGTGTCACCGTGCGTGACTGTCTGTGTGTGGTGTGTCACCGTGCGTGACTGTGTGTGTGTGGTGTGTCACCGTGTGTGACTGTGTGTGTGGTGTGTCACCGTGTGTGACTGCCTGTGTGGTGTGTCACCGTGCGTGACTGCCTGTGTGGTGTGTCACCGTGCGTGTCACCGTGCGTGTGACTGCCTGTACGTGGTGTGTCACCGTGCGTGTCACCGTGCGTGTCACCGTACGTGTCACTGTGTGGTGAGTCACCGTGCGTGTCACCGTGCGTGTGTCTGTGAGTGACTGCCTGTACGTGGTGTGTCACCGTGCGTGTCACTGTGCGTGTCACCGTACGTGTCACTGTGTGGTGTGTCACCGTGCGTGTGACTGTGTGCGAGTGACTGTACGTGGTGTGTCACCGTGCGTGTCACCGTGCGTGTGACTGCCTGTGTGTGTGGCGTGTCACCGTGCGTGTGACTGCCTGTGTGTGGTGTCACCGTGTGTGTGGTGTGTGTGTGGTGTGTCACCGTGCGTGTCACCGTGCGTGTCACCGTGCGTGTCACCGTGCGTGTGACTGTACGTGGTGTGTGTGACTGTGCGTGTCACCGTGCGTGTTTACTGCCTGTGCAGGTCGGGCGGCCTGGACGCCCCGCCCACGGTGAACATCATCAAGCCCACCCAGATGGTGGCCACCTCCTCCACCGCCTCCACCGCCTCCACCGCCTCCTCTCCCTCCTCATCATCCTCCTCCTCCTCCGCCACCACCGTCACCTCCGCCGGCCCCAAAGCGGTCCCCGCCCCCAAGAGCAAGGCCACGCCCAGGGCCTCGATCCGACCAATGGTGACGCCCACCGCCGCCTCCTCCTCCTCCTCCTCGGGCTCCGGCTCCGCCTCCGGCTCCTCCTCCTCCGGCGGTGGCTCCTCCCTCACGCCCACGGCCACCGTCATGCCCATGGAGTCCAACGAAGGTGGGAGTGGGGGTAGGGTGAGGTGGGGTTGGGGGGGGGGGGGGGGGGGGGTGGGGGGGGGGGGGGGGGGGGGGGGGGGGGGGGGGGGGGTGGGGTGATAGACTGAGGAGATATGGATCCCCACACAGAGACCCACAGACTCACCACACAGAGACCCACAGACTCGCCACACAGAGACCCACAGACTCACCACACAGAGACCCACAGACTCACCACACAGAGACCCACAGACTCACCACACAGAGACCCACAGACTCACCACACAGAGACCCACAGACTCACCACACAGAGACCCACAGACTCTCCACACAGAGCACCACAGACTCACCACACAGAGACACACAGACTCACCACACAGAGACACACAGACTCAGCCACACAGAGACCCACAGACTCACCACACAGAGCACCCACAGACTCACCACACAGAGACCCACAGACTCACCACACAGAGACCCACAGACTCACCACACAGAGACCCACAGACTCACCACACAGAGACCCACAGACTCTCCACACAGAGTCTCACAGACTCACCACACAGAGACACACAGACTCACCACACAGAGACACACAGACTCGCCACACAGAGACCCACAGACTCACCACACAGACACCCACAGACTCACCACACAGAGACCCACAGACTCATCACACAGAGACCCACAGACTCACCACACAGAGACCCACAGACTCACCACACAGAGACCCACAGACTCACCACACAGAGACCCACAGACTCACCACACAGAGACCCACAGACTCGCCACACAGAGACCCACAGACTCGCCACACAGAGACCCACAGACTCACCACACAGAGACCCACAGACTCACCACACAGAGACCCACAGACTCACCACACAGAGACCCACTAGACTCACCACACAGAGACCCACAGACTCACCACACAGAGACCCACAGACTCACCACACAGAGACCCATAGACTCACCACACAGAGACCCACAGACTCACCACACAGAGACCCACAGACTTACCACACAGAGACCCACAGACTCACCACACAGAGACCCACAGACTCACCACACAGAGACCCACAGACTCACCACACAGAGACCCACAGACTCACCACACAGAGACCCACAGACTCACCACACAGAGACCCACAGACTCACCACACAGAGACCCACAGACTCACCACACAGAGACCCACAGAGACTCACCACACAGAGACCCACAGACTCACCACACAGAGACCCACAGACTCACCACACAGACACCCACAGACTCACCACACAGACCCACAGACTCATCACACAGAGACACAAAGACTCACCACACAGAGACCCATAGACTCACCACACAGAGACCCATAGACTCGCCACACAGAGACCCACAGACTCACCACACAGAGACCCATAGACTCGCCACACAGAGACCCATAGACTTGCACACACAGAGACCCACAGACTCACCACACAGAGACCCACAGACTCACCACACAGAGACCCACAGACTCACCACACAGAGACCCACAGACTAACCACACAGAGACCCACAGACTCACCACACAGAGATCCACAGACTCACCACACAGAGACACCCACAGACTCACCACACAGAGACACCCACAGACTCACCACACAGAGACCCACAAACTCACCACACAGAGACCCACAGACTCACCACACTGAGACCCACACTCACCACACAGAGACCCACAGAGACCCACAGACTCACCACACAGAGACCCACACTCACCACACAGAGACCCACAGAGACCCACAGACTCACCACACAGAGACCCACAGACTCACCACACAGAGACCCACACTCACCACACAGAGACCCACAGAGAACTACAGACTCACCACACAGAGACCCACAGACTCACCACACAGAGACCCACAGAGACTCACCACACAGAGACCCACAGACTCACCACACAGAGACTCACCACACAGACCCACAGACTCACCACACAGAGACCCACAGACTCACCACACAGAGACCCATAGACCCCCCACACAGAGACCCACAGACTCACCACACAGAGACCCACAGACTCACCACACAGAGACCCACAGACTCACCACACAGAGACCCACAGACTCACCACACAGAGACCCACAGACTCACCACACAGAGACCCACAGACTCACCACACAGAGACCCACAGACTCACCACACAGAGACCCACAGACTCACCACACAGAGACCCACAGACTCACCACACAGAGACCCACAGACTCACCACACAGAGACCCATAGACTCACCACACAGAGACCCACAGACTCACCACACAGAGACCCACAGACTCACCACACAGAGACCCATAGACTCACCACACAGAGACCCACAGACTCACCACACAGAGACCCACAGACTCACCACACAGAGACCCACAGACTCACCACACAGAGACCCACAGACTCACCACACAGAGACCCACAGACTCACCACACAGAGACCCACAGACTCACCACACAGAGACCCACAGACTCACCACACAGAGACCCACAGACTCACCACACAGAGACCCACAGACTCACCACACAGAGACCCATAGACTCGCCACACAGAGACCCATAGACTTGCCACACAGAGACCCACAGACTCACCACACAGAGACCCACAGACTCACCACACAGAGACCCACAGACTCACCACACAGAGACCCACAGACTAACCACACAGAGACCCACAGACTCACCACACAGAGATCCACAGACTCACCACACAGAGACACCCACAGACTCACCACACAGAGACACCCACAGACTCACCACACAGAGACCCACAAACTCACCACACAGAGACCCACAGACTCACCACACTGAGACACCACACTCACCACACAGAGACCCACAGAGACCCACAGACTCACCACACAGAGACCCACACTCACCACACAGAGACCCACAGAGACCCACAGACTCACCACACAGAGACCCACAGACTCACCACACAGAGACCCACACTCACCACACAGAGACCCACAGAGAACTACAGACTCACCACACAGAGACCCACAGACTCACCACACAGAGACCCACAGAGACTCACCACACAGAGACCCACAGACTCACCACACAGAGACTCACCACACAGACCCACAGACTCACCACACAGAGACCCACAGACTCACCACACAGAGACCCATAGACCCCCCACACAGAGACACACAGACTCACCACACAGAGACCCACAGACTCGCCACACAGAGACCCACAGACTCACCACACAGAGACCCACAGACTCACCACACAGACACCCACACTCACCACACAGAGACCCACAAACTCACCACACAGAGACCCACAGACTCACCACACAGAGACCCACAGACTCACCACACAGACACCCACACTCACCACACAGAGACCCACAAACTCACCACACAGAGACCCACAGACTCACCACACAGAGACCCACAGACTCACCACACAGACACCCACACTCACCACACAGAGACCCACAAACTCACCACACAGAGACCCACAGACTCACCCCACAGAGACCCACAGACTCACCACACAGAGACCCACAGACTCACCACACAGAGACCCACAGACTCACCACACAGAGACCCACAGACTCACCACACAGAGACTCACAGACTCGACACACAGAGACCCACAGACTCACCACACAGAGACCCACAGACTCACCACACAGAGACCCACAGACTCACCACACAGAGACCCACAGACTCACCACACAGAGACCCACAGACTCACCACACAGAGACCCACAGACTCACCACACAGAGACCCACAGACTCACCACACAGAGTCCCACAGAGACCCACAGACTCGCCACACAGAGACTCACACACTCACCACACAGAGACCCACAGACTCACCACACAGAGACCCACAGAGACCCACAGACTCACCACACAGAGACCCACAGACTCACCACACAGAGACCCACAGACTCACCACACAGAGACCCACAGAGACCCACAGACTCGCCACACAGAGACTCACACACTCACCACACAGAGACCCACAGACTCACCACACAGAGACTCACCACACAGAGACCCACAGACTCACCACACAGAGACCCACAGACTCACCACACAGAGACCCACAGACTCACCACACAGAGACCCACAGACTCACCACACAGAGACCCACAGACTCACCACACAGAGACCCACAGACTCACCACACAGAGACCCACAGACTCACCACACAGAGGCCCACAGACTCGCCACACAGAGACCCACACTCACCACACAGAGACCCACAGACTCGCCACACAGAGACCCACAGACTCACTCACACAGAGACACACAGACTCACCACACAGAGACCCACAGAGACCCACAGACTCACGACACAGAGACCCACACTCACCACACAGAGACCCACAGAGAACTACAGACTCACCACACAGAGACCCACAGACTCACCACACAGAGACCCACAGAGACTCACCACACAGAGACCCACAGACTCACCACACAGAGACCCACAGACTCGCCACACAGAGACCCACAGACTCGCCACACAGAGACCCACAGACTCACCACACAGAGACCCACAGACTCACCACACAGAGACCCACAGACTCGACACACAGAGACTCACAGACTCGACACACAGAGACCCACAGACTCACCACACAGAGACCCACAGACTCACCACACAGACACCCACACTCACCACACAGAGACCCACAAACTCACCACACAGAGACCCACAGACTCACCACACAGAGACCCACAGACTCACCACACAGACACCCACACTCACCACACAGAGACCCACAAACTCACCACACAGAGACCCACAGACTCACCACACAGAGACCCACAGAGACCCACAGACTCACCACACAGAGACTCACACACTCACCACACAGAGACCCACAGACTCACCACACAGAGACCCACAGACTCACCACACAGAGACTCACAGACTCGACACACAGAGACCCACAGACTCACCACACAGAGACCCACAGACTCACCACACAGAGACTCACACACTCACCACACAGAGACCCATAGACTCACCACACAGAG